GAGCACAGCAATGATTACTTAAACCAATAAACTAATCCCTACAATTTTAATTGATCCACTCATAATCATTCTTGGGAAGAATCCACTACTGCCGTGCTAAATAGCTACGGACTAGCCTATTTGCCACTCATAGCAAACCCAGGGAGGTTTGCTTTCACCCATGGTACATGGAACAACTTACGGAACCAACGAAACCATCGATAGACTTACATTCAACCTGCCAACTCAAAGTATAACTTCGAGTTGCTAATGTGCCTCACTCACGAGCCCAAACGCAAACTCATATAATACGGTACAAACGGTAACCAAATCCATACCCAAAGAATGATTGCGAAGTCTTTGCACCCAAACGTGTACCCACTCGGATCATCGTTTTCATCTCTGGGTATGCAATGAGACTAGTTGCCCAATCTCATTGAATAGTACTCGTTGAGACTCATCCTCTGATACCAAATGTAGCGTACGTGGTTTTGACCCTTTATCCTATGGTGATTTACCATAGGATAACACCACGAAGCAGAACCTAAACCCTCTTTATGCCACGTGACACATGCCACGTGTCATATTCCACGTGTCCAAAGGACAGTGGTGTGGAACCCAAGGTTCAGGGTCTTGAGCCACTGAACGAAGGAATGGTGCCAAAACCCCCAAGCACGGAGCCAAGGAGTGACGAAACCAAACCACAGAGCAACTCCTGAGCATGCAGCCCAAGGAGCGTAGGGACAGGGGCCCGGAGCGACTTGGAACAGTCCTATAGCAACCAGCATCCCAATGCCAGGACCATCATGCAAAATGGAGTTAAATAGAGTTTGGCGCTATTTTAGCATACCGGTGGCCTAATGCGAGGATATGGATACTCCACCAGCTAGCATGGTGTGGAGCTTGGGTTTAGACCCAAGCCAGACATAGAACAAGGACAGGCACGCAAGTAGAAGCTAGACTATGCCTTAGGTTGATCAGCCATGCTCGACCTACCCACCATCCTTATTATACATTTGGAACCCCCCCCCCCCCCCCCCTTTGAGGAACACACGCTTTGGGCTTTCACCCCAAGCCTCCCTTAGTATCAGAAGTTAGTCTCTAGGACAAACTCGAAACTTATTAAATATGGAATGGTGTTAGATTGTGAATTTAAACATGGGACAAACACCATTGTGTTTAGGCCAATCTCTACATTCCGTAGATATGCCAAATGAGCGAATCTAGACACTTTCCATAAATAACATTTGGGACCGAAATGAGACTAACACAAAAGGCATGATAGCAAGGGTGTTTAGCAAACATGGTAAGCTATCATCCAACGATATTGAGGGACTAATCTCAATATGCGAGGGTTCTTGTCAAGCCAGTGCAACACAAAATAAAAGAGAACTAAGAGCCAGGCCGAGTATGCTCAGCTAAAAACACATAGGAGTTCCTACCTTATGTCCATCTAGCTAAGTACATGTGCTAAGCCTAGTAAACTAACACTTGAACAAGAGAGGCTGATAAAGGGAACCAGCAATATTGACCTCTTGCCATCGTGGTAGTAAGGAAAGAGTGTCCGTAAGGACCGGTCGACAGGTAATTTTTGATACCTGAAGTCACATTCGCGACATAAGTCCAAGGAAGTGTCGGTCAGATAAACGAGGTAAGCTGACAAATTGGAAAGGAAAAATTTGTGGTTTATATTTGGTATCAAAGGGGGTCTTGGGTCCGACTCTATTAGTTAGTTAAGAGAATCACACCACATGTTAATTGACATTTGGTTCAATTTGCTTTGGTTAGGTTTTACCCGAGGGGTAGGGTGTCAAGAGAGCAGGGTTCTTGGGAGAGTTGCAGCTCTTAGCTTCCGTTCACGAGGGTATGAACTTGTAGGGAAACGTAGTAAATTGTAAGCAACTAAAGGGAACGACTTGAGAGACAATCAATAGGGTTTAAATATATAAGGAAAAGGCCCATGAATAATAATACACCTCCTTTTCCAATCAGTTAAGAGTCTTAGGATATTTGGAGTTAAATGTCCTTAGGTTTGAATAATACTAGGCTAGGTAACCTCCCAAGAAGTTCAAATTCAAGAGCTTACACTCTTTTTACTTCTTTCATTTTATCAGATTGTGAAGTTTGTGTTTTGGGAAAGCAACATAGAGAATCTTCCACCCCATTTAAAAGCCTTATTGGCAGTCTTATATATAGTTTGCTCACAACCTAATTTGTCTTTTTCTACTATTGTTCTAAAACATTGATAATTAGCCAAGTTTATTCTCAAATATATTTAGAGGACACACAATTTTAGCTTAACATATGGAGGAGGAACAACACATAATTTCAATTTGTTGGCATTCTGTGACAATAGCTTTAATGATGATTATGATACATCTAAATCTATATTGTTTTATGCTAGTTGAAGGAACTATCCAATATAATAGCAAAAAAACAAGGATATGTTGCTTTGTCCTCCATTGAAACTAAATAAATGCCTCAAAACAGATCTTTTGGCTCCATGATTTCCTCTTTAATCTTGGACAACTTTCATTTTCACCAATGCCTCTCTCATATGGACAACAAAGGTATAATCGTTTAGTGCATTATAAAGTGCTTCTTTATACTAAGTATATAAGAAAGCATGTGTGTGAATAAAAAATAGCTTCTTCAAGTACCAACTTAAGATCAACAAACTAATATCTTCACAAAACCTCTTGATAAAAAAGCTTTCAAGAAGCATTGTTCATCACTTGGCCTTTCCCAATGCTCAACTCAAAATGAGAGCAACAGTTGATTGAGTTCTGCATTGGAAGATTGAACTCAACACACCCAATCAGCCCTAAAGCAGCGTGTTCACAATTTACAGCACATAATGTCTCTCCATTTTTTGTGCTTCTGTGTTCCAGTCTTCCTTCTTGGTCCTTGACAAATGAGATCTGCGGCAGAGGATCCAACATGGATGCATTTGCAATCTTGAAGACATGGATCCTACGCACCAAGAGCTCTCGATCGTGGACAGGCTCCTGAAAGCAGTCGCTAGAGAGAAATGTCATTCCCATCCTTCTGGATTAGAAACTCTTCCTCGTCAGCAAAGAAAACGGTAGCACCACTAGATGAGAAACCCTGCCAACCTCCACTCCATCGACCCATTCTTCTGGATGAGATCAATTTTTATGCTGGCTTTCCACCGGATTAGAATCCACTCCACCACTAACAAGAATTTTTATCTCCGGTTGTGGAGGTGGAGGTTCTGGACATTTTTAAAGTAGAATTTAAAAAATTCCACTTCACTTTCTATTAGTTGTGTCAACCCTTTCTATTACTGAACTTGATTTAATTCGATTTTTTCCTTGCAGCGGGGCTGTTGGGAATTTGCATCCTCCAGGAATTTGAGCAGCCGTGGCTGAACTTGCTTTCCCATGGCCATAGCCATTTGACGTTGGACAAGGCCAGCCTGCGGCACCTTAGAAACAATGGAAAATCCACAAGAGAGCTCGGGTGCCAGTGCCTGGACAAATGCCCAAGGGACAAGACTGAGTGAACTGCCCTTTCTACTTGAAGATGGGTGCCTGTTGACACGGGACCGATGCTCGAGAGCACCTAAGCAGAGCTGCACTTTTCTGCTCAACAATTTGTATCAAAGCCCAGAGATCACCCCCGGTCAGGCATATAGAAACACTGCCATCCCCAAGGAAGAGCTCCAGAAGGACTTGGATGCGTTCTACCTACAAGGACGTGTTTAAGGAGGTGAGCAACCACAACAAGGTGGACGCACTCAAGATCTCCAACAACTTCGGCAACCATCTGGCTGGGAATGTTTACGTCCCGTTTCGGCATACGGTTGCAGCTATGGCGGCGCTGAACAGGAGGTTTTACTCCGGGCGCCCGATCGCGGCCTAGTTCTCCCCCGTGACAGATTTTCGCGAGGCATCTTGCCGGCAGGAGGAGCAAGGAGGGTGCAGCCGCGGTGGATGCTGCAACTTCTTGCACCTTTATCATCCCAGCAAAGCTCTGATGAGGGAGCGTGAGTTTGACTTTCGCACAACCAGTTGAACTAGAAAAAGATACGAGGCAATGGATGGGTGGCTGCAGGCACAACGCAAATTGATTGGAGGACATCTCATTCCGTTGATTCCTCTGACACTACCATCGCCATCGCCGCCGTCTTTTGTTGACTGGGCGTTGCCGGCTCCATCAAGTCGAGCGATCTCCAGAGGGGGCATTGGCCAGTGATCCTGCATCATGAACCAGTCTGGACTCTGGATGTTTTTCCGGACGAGGATTAAACCATCCGGAGACGCAATCATTACAGACTCCCTCATGTAGTTCCAGCAGTATGCTCCAAGGCACTCGGAGACACCCTGCGCCGCTGCGTCCTATGGCCCTTCGAATCGAAAGAACCTTCAGCGCCCTCATCAGAGCTCTGCTAGGATGATAAAGGTCCAAGAAGTTGCAGCATCTGCCGCGGCTGCACCCTCCTTGCTCTTCCTGCCGGCAAGACGCCTCGCGAAAATCCGTCACAGGGGAGAGCTCGGCCGCGATAGAGCGCCCGGAGTAAAACCTCCCGTTCAGCTGCTCCTCCGAAACTGGACGTAAACATTGCATTCCCGGCCAGATGGTTGCCGAAGTTGTTGCAGATCTTGACCTTGCCGTGCTCACCTCCTAGGTAGAACGCATCCAAGTCCTTCTGGAGCTCTTCCTTGGGGATGGCAGTGTTTCTGCATGCCTGACCGGGGGTGACTTTGATACATGTTGTTGAGCAGCAAAGTGCAGCTCTGCTTAGGCTTTAGGTGCGCTCTCGAGCATCGATCCCTGCGTCGACAGGCGCCCATCTTGAGGTAGAAAGGGCAATTCACTCGGTCTTGTCTTTCCTAAGTCTCAAGAGAAGCTCTTACTCGGGTGATTCATTTCGTTCTTTGTTTTGTAACCTTGACTGAATTCTTCTGTTTGGCAGGATAGAAGCGCAAGTGGCGAGTTTTGACTGTTTGCATGTTTAGTCGTGTTCCAGAGGATCTAAATCTAACAAGAGAACCCAGTGGGACCGAGGGGAAAGCAACAGCCTTCTGCACTGGACTAGCAAGCACGCTTTTGCACTTTCTTTCCCCTTCTAAATGATTTTTAACCTTCTTCCAGAGACAGGGGAGAGGGCACACTGCACTGATCTCCAAGGTAAGCATTCCTAGCAATCGATTTGTCGCTGAGAAGATTAACTGGTAGGTCAGTGTTGCTTCCTTACAGCCATGGCTTCCTTGCTTTTTCATGCAAGCCAGATCGCTGAGAAGCAAAGAAGCAGCAGCCGCTCAGAAGTGCATTTAAGGAGGACAGCGGCTGGGTTGTGTCAGTGCGGCCTTCCTGTTGGTGACAATTGTAGCCATGGCTGGAGGGGATGAGGTTCCGGAAATGGGATTCGTGGAGAGGAGCGGATGCCAGTTTACAATCAACGGAGAACCATTCTACTTCAACGGATGGAACTCGTATTGGCTAATGGCGAGATCTGTGGACGAAGCCAACAGGATCAATGTCCAAGACATGCTCAAGGAAGCCGCTGGACTCGGCCTCACGGTGTGCAGGACTTGGGCCTTCAACGACGCTGGCTACGAGGCATTGCAGCTTTCCCCTGGCAAGTATGACGAGAAAGTCTTCCAGGTTGGTGCTTTGTAGAAGTTGTGTCTTTTAAACATGCTGTTGAGATGCCAGGCCTTGGACTATGCGATCGAGCAAGCAAAGCAGTATGGAATACGACTGCTGCTCGTTTTTGTAAACAACTGGGACGACTATGGTGGAAAGTCACAATACTGCAAGTGGGCTCGAGAGGCGGGTGTGGACGTTGATACTTCCACCACAGATAGTTTCTTCTCGAGCCCCTCCACGAAAGATTTCTACAAAGCGCATATCAAGGTACAAAAGCTGTCATTTCTATGCAGCACTTAAAACTTGGCTTGTTTGGGAGCTGCAGGCGATTGTGACAAGAGTTAACAGCATCAGCGGGATTCCATACTCGGAAGATCCCACCATTTTTGGATGGGAGCTTATGAACGAGCCGAGGTGCCTTGCCGACAAAACTGGAGATCTGCTTCAGGCATGTTTTGAAAATGCAGAGAAAGTCTTATCTGCTAAACTTTTACTCTTTCCTGGCAGCACTGGATCGAAGAAATGGCGAACTATGTAAAATCGCTCGACTCCAAGCATCTCCTGACAGTAGGACTAGAAGGTTTCTACGGAAAGTCCAGCCCCGAGAGCCTCGTTGCAAATCCTCAGGATTGGTGCCAGTACCTTGGCTGCGATTTCGTGAGAAACCACTTAGTGCCGAGCATTGACTTTGCGACAATACATGCGTACCACGATGCATGGTAAGTAGAAAGAATGGAAACTTTTCTCATGTTTTCCTGGTTTTGTTCCAGGAGATCGGACTTGGACATTACTGGACTGATGAAACAGTTCAAGCGATGGGTGAGAATGCACGCGCAGGACACTGAGGAAAAGCTCCAAATGCCGCTCGTCATCGCGGAGTTCGGCCTCTCGAATCGATTTGGAGTGCGATGCCAGCGACACATGTTTAAGTCCCTCTTCGACGTCGTCTACGAGTCCTCCATCCTGGGAGGAGCAGCGGCTGGAACAATGATCTGGCAGCTCCTTCCGGAAGGTATGGATGGATTCAAGGACTCATACGCGATCGTTGCTTCGCAGGAGCCAGTGATCTCCAAGCTCCTGGCTTTGCAGTCGCAGCGCTTGAAGCTCGCGATCGAGCTCCATCGCACGAATCAGTGCCTTCTCGTGGAAGACGAAGTGGAAGGAAAAGAAGAAGAGAAAGAAGAAAGCTGGCTCTTTGGTCTCAAGAAGCTCTCCATATGCGGAGCTGGTCACAACAAATACTCCATTTAAATTGGCACAACTCGCAAACGAGAAATGAATATTCCGCTATCGTTAATAAGACTTGACGGCATTCACTTCACTCTTTGTCCACTAGGGTTTAGATCTGCCGCTTGGGAGGGCCAAGCGAGGCGAGAGATCCGGCGCTCCTCACCAGATCGGAGCTACGCGCGGCTCTCGGCGTGAGCTCCTCCTTTGGATCTGCGGGAGCATTGGTTTGATCTCTTGTATTTCCTTCCGCAGGAGCTGGGCAGCTGCGAGCCGGATTTGAGGCGCTTAGGCTGCGCGGGGCAACATGGCGGCCGCGAGCGCTCCCATCACTATGAAAGAGGCCCTGGTGGTGCGTATTTTGGTTTTGGATTTATTTGCTAGAAATCAGCATTGGATTGTCTAATTTTGTTCTTGGCAGCTCACGAGCTTGGGCATCAATCCCCAATGCATCACTTTCAACCATGTCACGATGGAATCCGAGAAGTACATATGCGTGAGAGAGACCACGCCGCAGAACAGCGTGGTTATCATCGACATGAACTTGCCTCTGCAGCCTCTTCGCCGACCCATTACTGCCGATTCCTCGCTGATGAATCCCATCACTAAAATTCTGGCTCTAAAAGGTATGACATTTCATTCTCGCGTGATCCGGAGGATACAACTTAACTGGTTTGCTCGTACGCAGCTCAAATTCCTGGCACGAGCCAGGATCATCTCCAGATTTTTAACATAGAAATGAAGGCTAAGATGAAATCTCATCAAATGTCGGAACAGGTAATCGGGTGATTTCACTGGCTGTTTGGTGTGACGTCTTCTTTTCCGCTTGGAAGGTGGTTTTCTGGAAATGGATAACTTCAAAGATTCTTGGGCTTGTCACGCAGCAAGCCGTCTATCACTGGTCTATAGAAGGTATTTTTAAGAATTTGCTTACATCAACTGATTACAGCTACGACTAGGTGATTCTGAGCCGGTCAAGGTGTTTGATAGAACGGCTAACCTGTCGGGAAATCAAATTATTAACTACCGCTGTGATCCTTCTGAGAAGTGGCTAGTTCTGATAGGCATTGCTCCAGGCTCTCCTGAGGTATCCATTTCTTGAAAAGTTTCTTGTAGCTAACAAAGAAACTCTTTTAGCGTCCACAACTGGTGAAAGGAAACATGCAACTCTTTTCAGTCGATCAGCAGCGAAGTCAAGCTTTGGAAGCTCATGCTGCATCTTTCGCTACATTCAAGGTTAAGTTAACGGAAACATATGCACGTGATCATCTGTTAATCGTCGGTACTTGCAGGTCTCCGGAAACGAAGCTCCTTCCACTCTGATATCGTTCGCAACGAAGTCAGTTACGTCTGGCACGCTAGTATCAAAGTTGCATGTTATCGAACTTGGTGCCCAGCCAGGTCTGTTGTCTGTTTCCTTTTAGCGTGATTCTTATACCTAAAGTTCATCAGGGAAGGCAGCGTTTACAAAGAAACAAGCAGACTTGTTCTTCCCTCCCGACTTTGCAGACGACTTCCCCGTCTCGATGCAGGTAAAGTGTGTTGGAGGTTATACGCATTGATAACATTCCTTTCCGCAGATCTCACAAAAGTATAGCCTTATCTATGTTATTACGAAACTCGGTCTTCTTTTTGTATATGATCTGGAGACTGCAACGGCTGTCTATAGGAATCGTATTAGTCCAGATCCCATTTTCCTGACATCCGATTCCCCGTCAACTGGGGGATTTTATGCAGTTAATCGTCGAGGGCAAGTTCTATTGGCTACTGTTAACGAGGCAACTGTCGTTCCCTTCGTCAGCGGTCAGGTACTAGTGTTCATCCGTACTGCTACTGTCCTAACAACTTCTTATTGTCTATTTTGAAGCTTAACAATTTAGAGCTTGCGGTCAACCTTGCTAAGCGTGGCAACCTTCCTGGAGCCGAGAACCTGGTAACGCTTTTATCTTCGATGATCTTTCTCTTTGCTACCTCTTACTGTATCGTTCTATGTGAGTAGGTTGTGCAACGGTTTCAGGAGTTATTCCAACAAATGAAGTACAAAGAAGCTGCGGAGCTTGCAGCTGAGTCCCCTCAAGGAATCCTTCGCACGCATGACACTATTACGAAGTTCCAGGTCAGATGCTTATTGTCATTTTCTTAATTCATTTTTTAAACGTTGTTTCTTTTCGAGTAGAGTGTTCCTGTGCAACCTGGACAGACGTCACCTCTGCTTCAGTATTTTGGTACATTGCTCACAAAGGGGAAACTCAACGCTTTTGAGTCTCTGGAGCTTTCACGTCTCGTTGTCACTCAAAACAAGAAAAACCTTTTGGAGAATTGGTTGGCTGATGATAAACTCGAGTGCAGTGAAGAACTTGGTGATCTTGTCAAGGTCTGAACAACATCGTTCTTAGTTACCTACTCCTGACCGTTTTTTGTTGCAGTCAGTTGATAATGATATGGCCTTAAAAATCTTCATCAAAGCAAGGGTTACACCAAAAGTGGTCGCGGCATTTGCAGAACGTGGAGAGTTCGATAAAATTCTCATTTATTCTAAGCAAGTACGATTTTCCTGTTTTTAATGTTCAATTTTCCTGGCTAATATCTTTGTCCTAGGTTGGTTATACTCCAGATTATCCCTTCCTTCTGCAATCTATATTGCGAACGGATCCTCAGGTATAGTTCGTTGTCTTACTCATGGTTTTCCCGTATTGATCCTCTGTCCAGGCGGCCGTAAATTTTGCTCTCATGATGGCTCAAATGGAAGGCGGATGTCCAATGGACTACAACGTTATTACCGATCTTTTTCTGCAGGTACTTCTTTCACGTATAAGTTTGTATGAAATCGGCTGATATTGTTTATTTCTGTCATGCTTAGCGAAACTTGATACGTGAAGCAACATCCTTTTTACTGGATGTTTTGAAGCCGAACCTTCCCGAGCATGCGATGTTGCAGACAAAGGTTTTATTCGTTAACTTAAATTTTGTTTGGTATTTTATCCCGTCTTCAGGTTTTAGAGATAAATCTAGTGACATTCCCGAACGTAGCGGATGCAATTTTGGCCAACGGAATGTTTAGTCACTACGATAGGCCTCGGATTGGGCAGCTTTGCGAGAAGGCTGGCCTATACACGAGAGCATTGCAGGTATATTTTTGTCGGCATGATGCCATTCTCTTTAACAATACTTGCTTTCAGCACTATACGGACCTGAATGACATCAAGCGTGTGATTATCAACACACACGCTATTGAACCCCAGGTGAGACTTCCTTTTGTTACATTTCAAACGTTATCTAACTGTTTAAAAACAGGCTTTAGTGGAATTTTTTGGAACCCTCTCGCGTGACTGGGCTATGGATTGTATGAAGGAATTGTTGCTGGTTAATATGCGAGGAAATCTGCAAATAGTTGTGCAGGTAATTCCAGACTTAAAAAACGGATTTAAACTATTGTCTGGTTCTTCCAGGTTGCCAAAGAATACTCAGAACAGCTAGGCATTGGAGCCTGTGTGAAGCTTTTTGAGCAGTTTAAATCATACGAAGGTTTATACTTCTTTTTGGGATCCTTTTTGAGCTCGAGGTATATCCGTGGTTTTAAAGTTGCATGTAATCAATTGTCTTGTACAGCGAGGACCCGGATATTCACTTCAAATATATTGAAGCAGCAGCTAAAACGGGCCAACTGAAAGAGGTAGAGCGTGTCACCAGGGAATCGAATTTCTATGATGCAGAGAAGACCAAGAACTTTCTGATGGAAGCTCGTCTTCCTGACGCTCGTCCTCTCATCAACGTGTGCGATAGATTCGGTTACGTTCCGGATTTGACACACTACTTGTATTCGAACAACATGCTTCGGTATATTGAAGGCTACGTCCAAAAGGTACGGATTCAATGCATTTGTTGCTCTATAATCGTTTTGAAATTTTCAGGTCAATCCTGCAAACGCACATCTGGTCGTGGGCCAACTTTTAGATGATGAATGTCCTGAGGATTTTATAAAAAATCTCATCCTCTCTGTTCGATCGTTACTACCGGTTGAGCCTCTTGTTGAGCAATGCGAGAAACGGTCTGTTTCGTTTTTTCATGTATCTCATTATTGAGCTTAATTTTCTTTTCCAGTAATCGGCTGAGACTTCTCACTCAGTTTTTGGAGCACCTGGTTAGCGAAGGTAGCCAAGACGTGCATGTGCACAATGCGCTCGGAAAAATTATCATCGATACGAACAACAATCCCGAGCACTTCTTGACTACAAATCCGTACTATGACTCGAAAGTTGTCGGGAAGTATTGTGAGAAACGAGATCCCACCCTGGCAGTGGTTGCTTACCGTCGTGGACAGTGCGACACAGAGCTTATTAATGTTACGAATAAGAATTCTCTGTTTAAGCTTCAATCACGGTGAGTAGAGAACAATATTCATTTCTGGTTTCTAGGATTATCATATATTGTTTTCTGCAGCTATGTTGTGGAACGAATGGATGCGGATCTTTGGGCTCTAGTATTGAATCCCGAGAACCCCTACAGACGCCAACTTATTGACCAAGTAGTATCTACCGCCTTACCAGAGAGCAAGAGTCCCGATCAAGTTTCAGCAACAGTTAAAGCATTCATGACTGCTGACTTGCCTCACGAGCTTATTGAGTTGCTGGAAAAGATCGTCCTCCAAAATTCAGCATTCAGTGGCAACCCGAACTTGCAAAATCTTCTGATATTGACTGCCATCAAGGCTGACAAGTCGCGGGTCATGGATTACGTCAACCGACTAGACAACTTCGATGGTCCTGCCGTTGGAGAGATTGCTGTTGGTGCGGAGCTGTTTGAGGAAGCGTTTGCTATCTTCAAAAAGTTCAACTTGAACGTGCATGCTGTCAACGTGCTTCTTGACAACATCCGTAGTATCGATCGTGCTGTGGAGTTTGCTTCGCGAGTTGAGGAGGACGAGGTCTGGAGCCAAGTAGGAAAGGCTCAGCTCAAGGAAGGCCTGGTCAGCGATGCCATTGAGTCGTTTATTCGAGCAGACGATGCAACGCAGTTCAACGACGTCATACTGGCAGCAAACCAGGCTAGAGTTTTTGAGGATCTCGTCAAGTACTTGCATATGGTGCGGAGGAAAGTTAAGGAGCCCAAGGTGGACTCTGAACTCATTTATGCGTACGCACGGATTGAGAAGCTCGGGGAGATCGAGGAGTTTATTCTGCAGCCTAATGTGGCCAACCTGCAAAACGTTGGCGACCGTCTCTTTGACGAGACGCTTTACGAAGCTGCGAAGATTATCTTCACTCATATCTCCAACTGGGGTCGTCTTGCAAGTACTCTCGTCAAGCTCCACCAGTTCCAAGGTGCAGTTGACGCTGCCAGGAAGGCCAACAGTGCGAAGACGTGGAAAGAAGTTTGCTTCGCTTGTGTTGACGCGGAAGAGTTCAGGCTCGCACAAATATGTGGTCTCAACATCATTGTCCAGGTAAGGCTATAGTTTCTGGTTATACTCTATCTTTGGTTGGTCTAATCTGTTATTAAATCCAGGTGGATGATTTGGAGGAAGTGAGTGACTACTACCAGAATAGGGGACGATTCGATGAACTGATTTCTCTAATGGAAAGTGGTCTTGGACTCGACCGCGCACACATGGGTATATTTACAGAGCTCGGAATATTATATGCCAAGTATCGGTCCGAGAAGCTTATGGAACACTTGAAGCTTTTCTCAACCCGAATCAACATTCCAAGGCTCATTCGCGTTTGCAACGAACAAAAGCACTGGAAAGAACTCACGTATCTGCACATTCAGTACGACGAGTATGACAATGCCGCTGCAACTATTATGAACCACTCTCCCGATGCCTGGGATCACATGCAGTTCAAGGATGTCTGCGTTAAGGTTGCCAACGTGGAGCTGTACTACAAAGCTGCCCACTTCTATCTTCAAGAGCATCCTGACCTCTTGAACGATCTGTTAATGGTCTTAGCTCCCCGTGTCGATCACACTCGTGTGGTAGACATAATGCGCAAGGTTTGTGATTTGATTCTCTTGCCACGTTTGTGACACCTTTGTCTGCAGGCTAGAAACCTTCATCTCGTGAAGCCTTACATGGTGGCTGTGCAAAGTGCAAATGTGGCCGCTGTGAATGAGGCTCTGAACGAGCTTTACGTCGAAGAAGAAGATTACGACCGTCTCAGAGAATCCATTGATCTTCACGACAATTTTGATCAAATTTCTTTGGCGCAAAAGGTTTGAGGATCCTTGCTTTTTCTTGTGATCTTTTAACATGGAAGACACTGTTTTGCAGCTTGAAAAGCACGAGCTTATCGAATTGCGCCGCGTCTCTGCCTACATTTACAAGAAAGCAGGAAGATGGCGCCAGTCTGTTGCGCTGTCCAAGAAGGACAATCTCTACAAGGACGCGATGGAAACTGCATCGCAATCTGGAGATCGTGATCTTGCCGAAGAACTGCTGTCGTTCTTTATTGAACAGGTAACTTCAACTAGCGGAAAACGTTTTACTAATTATTGGATCGCAATTGTGTGTTTCAGCAAAAGAAGGAATGCTTCGCGTCCTGCCTGTTTACATGTTACGATTTGATCCGGCCCGACGTAGCATTGGAGCTTGCCTGGATAAACAACTTGATCGACTTCTCCTTCCCTTACCTGTTACAAGTAAGACCTTGGAGTTCTTCCTCATGACTTCTGACACTTTGCTATCGACTCTAGTTCATCCGCGAGTACACCAGCAAGGTGGACGATCTGATCAAAGACAAGCTAGCAGCCGACCAGGAGGTCAAGAGCAAGGAGAAGGAAGAGAAGGATCTAGTGGCTCAACAGGTTTGTCTCCTCACCTCATTTGCTGCAACTATAGACTGAATTCGATCTTGCAGAACATGTACGCTCAGCTCCTTCCTCTGGCGCTGCCCGCTCCTCCGATGCCCGGCATGGGAGGCGGTCCTCCAGGATTCAACCCGGGCATGCCACCTCCTTTTGGTGGAATGCCTGGCTACGGCATGCCTCCCATGGGCGGATATTAGAGGTAGGAAGATTATCTTTTGTTTTCAATCACGAAAGACTACACAGGTGAAGGGTCTAGCAGAGATTTTTTGTAAATTTAGATCGAGAATAATATATGGTCTTGTATTTTTCTTTCTTTTTATCAGCGGCTAGCACCATGGAAGTCACTCACCTTGCAAATAAAATGCAGATACCAAAGTAAGAACTTGTGCAACTTCTTGTTTCGTAGTTTGATAGAAATCGTCTTGAAGCAGCAAATGAGAGGACCACCAAGCTGCTCAAGAAAGCCACGGCGTCGACTGCGTTGGAAACATCGGGAATCTCCATGCGTTTCCTGTAGCGCAGCTCCAGCCATGCACACGTAACAGGCACGTCGATTGGACAAATCAAGCACACTCCTCCACAAGGTAGAAGATGACTTTGTTGACACCCGCGTCCTCCAGGACCGGCAGCTGTTGGAGGGTACCAGACCGGCAGCCGCGGCTTCAGCATCTGGTAGCCTCCAACAGCTGCCCAGAAGCGGATATCGTCGAGAAGCATCCAGCTGCACTCTTCCTCCGCCTCCTCCCAGCTCACCGCGGCCAACAAGTTGACGAAAGCTCTTTCCCAGCCTCAGCAGTTGCATTGCCTTGGGCAAAGCGGTGTCACCTCTTGTAGCAGCGAAGTAGAACAAGTCCCAGCAAACGAAGCCGTCTAGGAGCCAGAAGGCCGTTCCCGAGCCAGAGGCCGTAGCCGGCTGTGATATCGTTCTGGAAAAGCCATTGATTTGCTCGACCATGGCCGTGTGCTTGGACTGCCCTGGAGGCACGATTGGAAGAGGCGGGCGACGGTCTTGCTCGCGAAGCCGTGAAGCTCCACTGTGGCGACCATCTGTCACCCCACACAAATCCATTCCCGAATCCCTGCGACTGTGGAGGGTAACGTGTGCACTACCTAGATCATCCTTCGGACATACGACACTGGGATGCATGCTACGTGCGGTTGGTGTATCGTTCCATCCCGGATACCACCTGCGAGGTGGCGCTGACGTTGAGCGGAAGCATGGGCATGGCGCAGGTCCGGGGGCAGCGTCAGCCCCTGGTTGCGATCGGCCACCTCGTTGCTGCAATGTTGACATAGGACACAAGGTAGAAGTCCTTGGCCGCCACATTTCCACAGAGGGCATAAATAAAAGGGATCAATGGAAGTAATATAGTATTGTTTGAAAAAGGATGCTCACTAAGATGATCGAGACCATTTCTGTACTGCTGCAACGAGCAGGCCGAGTTACCGGGGGTGATCTATCGATGCCCGCGATTTACTTTCAACAAAGGTAAAAGCACTTTCGCGTACGGTGGAAGCCTCAGGATCATAAGATAGGCCTCTCACTCGCAAGCTTCTCTCGTGTAAATTCAGCCGCTTTTGTGAATAACCTTTGTTCTTTCTTTCGTTCACATGGGTTGATGAAATCCGTATGGGGATCTCGTAGCTTATTGTGACCATTGACTAGTCAAAAGGACGCCTTCTCTCTGGCGAGAATGCGGTAATACACGATCACACAGACTCAGGGAGTAGAAATCTCTCGCTCGCTCGCTTACTCAGCTGTAGACTGGCAGCTACGAGGATGTTGCTGAAGACTCCAAGTCGATCAATCGGCTGGCTTTTGCTCCTTGAACGATCTGTTAATCCCCGTTGTTGATCACACTCGTGTGGTTGACATAACGCTCAAGGTTTGTATTTTGATTCTCTTGCCACGTTTCTGACACCTTTCTGCAGGCTAGAAACCTTCATCTTGTGAAGCCATACATGGTGGCTGTGCAAAGCGCAAATGTGGCCGCTGTGAACGAGGTACGTTGAAGAAGAAGATTGAGATCGCCTAAGAGAATCCATTTATCTTCAAATTTCTTTGGCGCAAAAGGTTTGAACTTGCGGAAGACACTGTTTTGCGGCTTGAAAAACACGAGCTTATCGCCTACATTTACAAGAAAGCAGGAAGATGGAGCCAATCTGTTGCGCTGTCCAAGAAGGACAATCTTTGTACAAGAAACGGCATCGCAACCTGGAGATCGTGATCTTGCTGAAGAACTGCTGTCGTTCTTTATTGAACAGGTAACTTGGATAGCAATTTACTAATGATTGGATCGCAATCATTAGTGTGATCAGCAAAAGAAGGAATGATTCATGTCTTGCCCCAGCAAGGTGGACGATCTGATCAAATACAAGCTAGCACGGACCAGAGGTCAAGAGCAAGGAGAAGGAAGAGAAGGATCTAATACATGTTTCCTCACCTATACACTGATTTTTTATTTAGATATGCAACTCTTGCAGAACATGTACGCTCAGCTGCCGCTGCCCGCTCCTCCAGGATTCAACCAAGGAATGCCACCCCCGTTTAGAGGAATGCCTGGCTACGGCATGCCTCCAAATACTAGAGGTAGGGAGAGCTTCATTTTCTCTTTTGTTTTCAATCACGAAAGACTACACAAGTGAGGGATCTAGCAGAGATTTTTTAATAATATATTGTCTTGTATAGCTTCTATCTTTGGAAAAAAGACTATTTCATTTGAAAAACTGTAACGCCGTTGCCGGGGATCGAACCCGGGTCGTCCGCGTGACAGGCGGAAATACTTACCACTATACTACAACGACCTCGTGTTAGAAACTTCTGTACATTTTAGAACATATTTACAAACTCCTAGCATGATTGTGCTAGCTAGAAAGATGATGGTCGATTATCAACCATAAAGCCCCCCAAGGATATCTCCGAGACTCTCGCCTCCCCGGGAAGGATCCAATCTCGGCAAAGTAGATGTCGTTGTAGCCGAATACAGACGCCCCAAGATCACATTGATGACTTTCTTGGTCAAGAGTGAAGATTTCCCAGCGTTGGAAGCTCCAATTATAAAAGAAGACGAAGAGGTACAAGAACATCTACTTGAAGTCCGAATCTGGGGAGCCTGGAGGGAGCTGGATGAGGTGATTGTGGGGAAGTTATCCAGCTTTTCCTTCGCAGCTGCATCTATAAATTGAGCAATTTGCAAGCAAGATTTCCATATTAGCATTAAATGTACTCTACTAGCTAAGCCCTTTTTTCAGGTTCGGAATCGCAAATGTGCTTTTTCATTGTCTTGTTTTATGTCGCTTACTAGAGATTGTAAGTCAGTATGTCCGAGTGGTTAAGGAGACAGACTTGAAATCTGTTGGGTTTCACCCTCGCAGGTTCGAATCCTGCTGCTGGCGTCTGTGTCTTAAGATTTGAGAAAAAAAGTTTTTTTAACTAAGCATGATTGCGATACTCAATTGTTTGTTTGAACTTTCCTGATTCCACTCTTGCATAAGGTAGATCCCATTGTCGAGGTGAAACTCAAGCTGTGCACTGTGGGCAAATTCGGCCTAAGCGCAACCGCAAGTATCAGCAGCGCGTGTGCAAAGGTGGCGAGTTCAGCATCGCTTGGAACATCAAACCCCTGAGGCTCCATTTCTGCAAATCTGCGGGCGATTTTGAAGAATGCTTACTCAAAACAAAGTAGTGTGGAGCTGACTTCGGCTGCCAGATGGGTTGAGTCCGGTGATTTCAATACTCCTGTTACAATTTCTTCCGGTGTCATAATATTATCCATTTTACTTTTGCAACACATACTGTGTCCGCACGAACTCAGTGCAGTCCAAGTCGTAAACTTGGTTCACAGTCCAACTAAATTGTTGGCTGTGGCATGGAGAACCAGCCAGTACGAAATTAAGGAGACACTTGAAATCTGGTGGTTAAGGAGACAGACTTGAAATCTGTTTTCACCCTCGTAGGTTCGAATCCGGCTGCTGACTTCATTGAGCTTTGAGAAAAATTGTGTAAGCTTTGAGAATATGCTAAGGTGGCCTCATATTTATAATGCACCCAGCCATCCTTAAAGCAACGCTTCCATAGGCAAGCATGATTTATAGCGCTGCAATACTCGTTGCTTGTTTGCTTTTCCTGCAGAAGGTAGATGCGGGCTGGGTTTTGTTTTCGAATGGGGAGGTAGGGGCTGGCTGTGGAACAAATGCATGTTCTATTCCGAATTGCGCGCTGCTTGTTGAGCGCGTCCATGGCTGCACTGGGGGCGAAACTCAAGCTGTGAATTGTGGGCAAATCCGGGCTAAGGGCAACCGCAAGTATCAGCAGTGGAAGAGCGTGTGCAGAGGTGGCGAGTTCAGCATCGATTGGAACATCAAACCCCTCAGGCTCCAGTTCCGCAACTCTGCGGGCAACTTTGAAGAATGCCTGCTCAAAACAAACTGGCGTGGAGCCGAATTCGGCTGTCAGATGGGTTGACTTTGTAGTCGTGTTTTCTAATCAACTGTGTTGGTGATGAACATGCATAAATTGTTGAATTATTATTATTATTATTCCATAACTTTCGGGTCTGGCATGTGCCACAACATTGCATGGCAAGGACTTGGAGATATGAAACCATTGCCAGAGCTGACAATAAGCTGCACAGCTGTAGAGCACATGAAATACATCTGTGATGCGAACAGTGTTGAAGGTGCTTCTCCATGGCAGCTCCCATACCCATCCATCAGTCCTTACAAAGTGTGCAATTTGTAAGCATGATTTCCATACTAATCTACCATGCACTCTACTTTCTTTCGCTATGAGGCTTTTTGGGCCCACAATAACAAGCAGCAGACTTTTGCTCAACCATCACTGTCTGATTGTGATGAAACGTAGACCTTTTTTCCTTGTTATTGTGCACAAAGCATGAGTTTTCCTGGATGAACGACGAGAGCTCATCCAAATTGGTTGTAAGAAACTCCAAAGGCTGGGCGTTTGGTCACAAAACAAAATTCTTTCAGTATGTCCGAGTCAGACTCGAAATCTCACCCTCGCAGGTTCAAATCCTGCTGCTGACGCTCTGCCATCTCATTTTTGTTCAGCTTTTTCAGAAATGTGTGTAAGAATTCCAAGAGATGGATCACATCAAATTACTAGAATCATGCAAGGACCTTGCTGCTGTGAGACACGCCGAGTCTCGCATTCCCACCATCACGAGAGACTTGCACGTCTCAAACAAGCTCATCCAACTCTACGGCAGATATGGCGGCATCCGGGAGGCCCGGGCAACCTTCGACGCCCTGTACCGTACGGACTCTTTCTCGTGGAACGCTCTTCTCTCGGCCTATGCCCGCAATGCCCAGCTCGAGGAAGCCAGGCGCGTGTTTGATTCCATGCCCCAACGCAGCCTCATTTCGTGGACCACCATTGTGTCGGCATATACCACGGCTGGGTATCTGGAGCAAGCGCGTGCCGCGTTTGATTCCATGCCTGCTAGAGACAGGGTGACGTGGACGTGCATGATTTCTTCGTATGCTAGGAACGGTCACGTCGACGAGGCTAGGTGTATATTCCATGATATGCCAGAAAAGGATCTCGTCGCTTGGAATGCCATTCTTTCTGCAAATGCCCAAAACGGGCATTTGGAAGACTCACGGGATGTGTTTGAGGGCATGCCTCTCCGGGATCTTGTGTCTTGGAATGCGACGCTGGCTGCGCACGCACAAAATCGAGATCACGTTAGAGCCAAAGAGATTTTCTTTGATGAGATGCCGGAGTGGGATCTTGTTTCTTGGAACAGTGTCTTATCGGCACTGGCTCACGCTGGAGATCTTACGAACTCGAAATGGGTGTTTGATTCAATGCCTGAGAGAGATATCGTTTCCTGGAATACAATTCTCTCTGGGATGAGCAGTCAGAAAGGACTGCTAGACCAAACCAAACATGTCTTTGACAACATGCCACAACGAGCTATTGTGTCTTGGAACTCGATGCTGGCTACGTGTGCCCAGCATGGCAGGGTCGAAGAAATGAAAAGCATCTTTGATGAGATGCCACAGCAGGATCAAGGATCGTGGAACACACTGCTAATTGGTTATGCCCAGAATGGGCATATGCCTGAAGCGCAGAAAATTCTTCACTGCCTTATACCTCAACGAAATCTTGTGACATGGAACGTCGTTTTAAATGGATTTGTTCAAGCTGGAAGTTTAGTTGATGCAGAGAAAACTTTCCAAGCAATGAAATTCCTTGATAATATCTCTTTTAATGCTATACTAACAGCATATATCGAAGCTGGGCATATAGAAAATGCCGAGCTTGTCTTTTCTTCCATGCCTGAGAAAGAACTAATTTCTTGGAGTATCATGCTATCTGGTTATGCTGAACATGGGTATTTGGAGAAAGCTAAATCAGTTTTCTTGAAGATGCCTGAGTGGAATGTTGTGTCGTGGAATTCTATAATGTCTGCATTTGCGAGGCATGGGCATTTAGACGAGGCCGAGAGAGTTTTCAACGAGATGCCAGAGAGAGATTTGGTATCCTGGAATACGATGCTAGCTCCATATTCTCAAAACGGGAATATTACAGGAGCAAAGAAGTTGTTTGACGAGCTCCCAATGAGGGATTTGGTGTCTTGGAACGTAATGCTAACTGCATATTCTCAAGATGGGCATATTTCGAAGACATTATGGGTGTTTAAAGAGATGCCAGAGATGAGCTTGGTGTCCTGGAATGCCCTTCTAGCTGCCTACGCCCAGAATGCCGATCTTGAAAAGGCTAAAGAAATCTTTGCTGTGATGCCCGAGCACAATGTTGCGTCTTGGAACTCAATACTTTTGATATATGGGAACGCTTGTGAAGTCAAACAATCAAGAGAGACATTTGATGCCATGCCTCAGCACAACGTTGCGTCGTGGACTGCAATGCTTTCGATCTATGGCCAGAATGGGGACCTTGAAAACGCAAGGAGTTGTTTTGGATGTATGCCTGACAAGGATCTGGTGGCATGGACTGCAATGCTGGTTGCCTTTACGCACAATGGGCATCTCCAAGACGCGCAGGAGATGTTTGATGCCATGCCATTCCAGAGTGTGGTCCCTTGTAATGCCATACTTGCAGCATATGCCCAAAGTGGGCATCTTATGAGAGCGAAAGCACTGTTTGATTCGATGGCTTTACACAACCCGGCATCTTGGAGTGCGATGCTGTCAGCATATTCCATTCACGGGCATATAGATGACTCAAAATCTTTGTTCATGGACATGCAGCAGAGGAATCTTGCCTCCTGGAGTGGAATGCTACAAGCTTATGCCGGCAAGGGACATCTGGAAGATGCCAAGTGTACTTTCGATGCCATGCCTCAGCACAGCCTTGGCTCCTGGACGTCAATGCTGGGCGCGTATGCCCAAGGAGGATATGTTCTCGAGGCCAAACAGCTGTTCGATAAGATGCCATTGAAAGATTCCCTTGCCTGGCATGTTTTGCTGAGTGGATATGCCCAGAACGGGCATGTGGAGCTCGCACGACAAATGTTTGATTCTATCCCCGACCAAAACCTGGTTACATGGAGTGCTCTTTTGGCATCGTATGCGCACAATGGACACTCCAAGAAAGCTTTGGAAATATTTGCCATTATCAAAGCCGTGGAAGCTCCAAACGAGATTTGCTTTGTTTCGGTGCTCATTGCTTGCAGCCATGCCGGAAAGATGCCCCTGGGAAGGTCTTATTTTTTCTCAATGATCGTGGATTTTAACCTGAAACCCACGAAACAACACTACACTTGCATGGTGGATTTGCTGAGTCGAGCTGGGCATCTGGCTGATACTGAAGAGCTTATTGCGACAATGCCCTTTGTTCCTGATGGGTTGGAGTGGACTTGCTTGATTAGAGCTTGTAAGTTAGAGGTCAACCTTGCCAGGGCTGCGAAATCTGTAATAGAACCTGATGAGAAAGATGGTTCAAGATACATTTTACTTGCAAATGCTTTTACGGGCGATCAAAAGCTTGATCAAAAGCAAAATTCTTTAAATTAAATATTATTAGATAAATATTAATTGTAGCTAATGACAGTTCAGAATTGCTGCTGCTGTGCTTACAATCAAAAGCAGGTGCAAGCTCCTCGAATTCCAAAGTCCAATGTAGAGTGCATAGATTGCTAGATCAAATACCAAGTTATATGTTGGGCTATAAAAATGAAAGCTCTAAAACCTCCTTTGGCAGAATTGTAAAATGTTTTATTTTCTTGTGTAGACCTTTTCTTCCGGGGTCCTATGGATTAGCACGAGAGCATGATGAAATTATAATTCTTTGACAGATTTGCAAGAAATTCGATAAAAGCAAGGGATCCATGGCACAACGGCAGTGCGTTTGACTCCAGATTAGAAGACTGCTTGTTCGAATCACGCCAGGTTCTGAAATTATGCTTTAGATTCTTGGAAGGTTGACAGTCAAGCATATTCGCATATATTCGTGTCTGAGTACAAACTTGGGTTCTAAAATATGCTTGATATTTCATGTCTGAGTGTTTCTAGAGTTTTAAGGGAAGAATCCCAGGTATGCCAGGCATAAAAGTTTCTAGAGTGAGAAAGGCATTTATATGAAGATTAGCTTTGGGAGGTACATATCTACATACGTTATTGATTTAAAAAGGTATGAATAAAGTAAATAGATATAATGAAATATATTAGACTTAATTATCTACTGAATTAAAATTAGATATAAAAATATAATTAGTTATCTCTAATTACATTAATATTTTTATTATTATTTATTTAGTATTAGAATAAAATAAATTTTATCTATTTTTATTAAGTTATTGGTGTTATTAGAAAATTTTATTATATTGTATAGAGGAGATATTGAATTATGAATCAGTATTTTATAAAAAATTTGTAATAAAATAATAAATTAGTATATTTTTACCCAATTAAATTTAGATGGGAAATATTTATACTTATATTAAAAAAATCTATAGAGATATTATGCAATATTCTATTATATTTACAAATTTAATAAAATAAACTTGAAAGTCCAGTTTTGTAGCCATGAAACTTTCCATGAAACTGTCGCTGATGATATATATAATTTATAGTTTGATGAAGGGACGATACAAAATGAATGTCTTGCTAGGACTTGGTTTGGGAGTTTTGGCACTTACCGCATTCTTCTACCTCTGCAATAAGTTTCTTATGGCCAGGGACGCGAGATTGGAGGAAGATGCCAGGAGCATTTTGATGACAACTTCTCCTGCTGCTGCGTTCACAATCACAAGCCAGATGTTCAGATGGATGCAAGCTCCTGGAGATCCCAAGTCCGATCAGAGTGTTGTAGAGTGTGCAATTTGCTTGACAGAGCTGGAGGAGGCGATTGTGAGAGTGTTGCCCAGCTGCAACCATGTTTTCCACCGCAGCTGCATCGATCTGTGGCTCTCTTGCAACACCACGTGCCCAATCTGTAGGCGGGATTTGGTCGCAAACCATAGATCCTAAAAGATGACTATTTCCGCGTATGTCCAGACAATATGGAAGCAAAGTCTAAGCTTTTATTTTCCTTAAACCTTGGGGAGATTTGTCAAGAAAGAAAATGAATCCGTGGCGCAACGGTAGCGCGTCTGACTCCAGATCAGAAGGCTGCGTGTTCGAATCACGCCGGGTTCACTAAACGTGCTTACCCTTTTGATCAAATAACATTCTTGATGGAAAAAATGCAGGAGTAGAAAAACCTTGCAAAGATTTGGAGATACCAAAGTCTGGTCCACCTTATTGATTCTATTGAAATTTTTTCCAGAGTTTGGTCGCCATTCTTCCTCGCTCCTCAAGCTCGATCGAGCTCGAGCACCAAAAGATCATGGCGGGCACCAAAGCTCTGCGAGTTTCTAGAGTGAAGAAGGCCTTCATCTGGTACACTGTAACATTTGGAATGTATGAAGGCGAGATTTGGGAGGTCTGTCTCGCAAACATCGTGCTCGCTCTTGCGTTTCTCCCGCCCCTCTATCTCATCCACAAGCACGCCATTAGATTACTGGTAAGCGAGGTTATTAGGCCGTGGGACAAGGTGTTAGTGCTGTCGCTGGGAGCCCTAAGCGTTTGGATGCTCGCGTTGGCAATGCCCACCAGGTTGATGCCGCCACCGCCATCGCCACCGCCACTGCAAAATTCGTGCGCTCTCAGCAGCAGCGCTAGCGCGTCTTTGATCTTCCCGGTGCGTCACAGCGTCGCGGGGCTTCGATTCGGCACGAGATTCAAGCATGCTTATACTTCTCTCAGTTTTGCCGCGCTCGTCGCGTCGCGAGCTTCCATCCCTCGCTGGAATCGCTGCAATCGGGTCTTTGCCGCCTCGTTCCAAGGTGAGTTTGATGCATTTTTTCTTCCAGTTAGGCTGGAACTTCATTAGTTTGGAAATCGAGCTGGTAGGAAACTAAGTTCTTGTTGGAGTTGGTCGTTGTTTCTAGTTTTCTTTCCTGCTTGAGGTCCAGCTTTGATGCTAACTTGGTTGCTGCCTGAGAAACAATCTATAGTCTGTGTTTTTGTGTCGTGTTCTCGCTAGGAATTCTTTTTCTAGTTTCCTTTGATGCTAACTTGGTTGGCTTCTTTTTGCAGCGAAGGCTGTTGCAAATCCAGTGGAAGTCGAGAGTGGCTTCGATGAAATGGTCGCTGGCACCAAACGAAAATACTTCATGCTAGGTGGCAAAGGCGGCGTGGGAAAGACGAGCTTAGCTGCGTCTCTTGCTGTAAAATTCGCAAACAGTGGCCACACTACACTCGTTGTGTCGACGGATCCCGCTCATTCACTTAGCGATTCCTTTGCACAGGTAATCCTCTTTTGTTCTTACTTGGTTGTTTTTCTCTTCGCTGCTAGAGAAAGTAGTTTGACGAAATTTTGCGACGTCTAGGACTTAAGTGGTGGCAAACTCGTTCCTGTTGAAGGCCCGGACAGTCCTTTATTCGCCTTGGAGGTCTGTAGTAGTTTCTCTTCCTCGCTCGAACCTTGATGCCGAAGTTATTTTTCGACAGATCAATCCTGAGCAAGCGAGATCGGAATTTCGTGCTGCTGCTCAGACAGGTAGTGGAACTGGCGTCAAAGACTTTATGGACAGCTTTGGCCTTGGTGGATGGGTAGAACAGGTAATGTATTTGCTGGTCAAGCAGAAACTGGCTCTCGACTTATATCTTCAGCATTTGCTTTGCAGATCAGCGAACTTAAGCTCGGAGAATTACTGGACACTCCTCCGCCTGGACTAGACGAAGCCATTGCCATATCAAAGGTTTGCTGTTTCGATTCCTATTTGGCGAGCGTTCTAGAACTCGTGACGCACAGGTCGTCCAATTTATGCAATCCCCGGAGTACGATCGTTTTACTCGCATTATCTTCGACACTGCACCCACTGTAAGCTATAAAACTCTCGGGTTCTTCTCTGGGCTGAGCGTTCGGTGTGTCTTGCCAGGGGCATACCTTGCGATTATTGTCGCTACCGGACTTTTTGGATGCATCAATTGGGAAACTCCTCAAGGTACAAGCTTTTATAGAAAGTTTTCCACGCGTAGCGTAATGTTCTTGGCACCGTAATGTTCTTCACCAGCTCAAGCAGAAGCTCGCTTCCGCCACCAATGCGATTAAATCGGTTTTCGGCCAAGGAGATGGATCAGACACGGCTGTAAGCATACAAACTTCTACTCGCTACTTGCTTTTGATTTTTCTTTCCATGGAGATAATTTGCTTTCTGTTACCTTGCAGACCAACAGACTAGAGCAACTTAAAGAGAGGATGGTCATGGTCCGTGAGATTTTCCGAAATAAAGAAGCAACGGAGTTCGTCATTGTCACCATCCCAACGGTAAGACGATCTCAAAACCGCTACTATACTTTCCACAACTTTAAAATCGCTTGCAGGTGATGGCCGTAAGCGAGAGTTCCAGGCTCAAGCAATCCCTCGAGAAGGAAGGCGTTCCTGTGAAGAGATTGATTGTAAACCAGGTACTGGCTGCCTCACAATCGGACTGCAAATTCTGCTCCATGCGTCGAAAGGTAATCTGGTCTCCGAAGTTTTGTTTTTTTGTTTCTCTCTCTTTCCTGGTCAGCTTTTGTTCGGCTAGAGAAGCACACGAAACATTTAATGGCTTTATTTGTTTTGCTCTTTTTTTTCCAGGACCAGAGCCGAGCATTCGATATCATCAATAGCGACCAGAACCTCAAGGATCTCCAGCTTATTCAATCGCCACTGATGGATGTGGAAATTAGAGGCGTACCGGCGCTCAGGTTCGTGGGCGATACAGTCTGGCGATAAGTGAAAGGTACAAGCATCTCTAAAACTCTTATCGCTGGTTCGCGTCTCAACAGGAAAAACCAACACCAAGAGCGAGAGAAAACGGAGGAGAGAACAAAGAAAGTGTACAGTGGCATGGAACTTTTAATAACTGGATCACTTGGTCCACGTACGTATCTTCTTTCATTCGTTTTTGATTCGTCTTCTCCACAGCGTCGTTGCTATTAACTCCTGGCTGATCTGCTGGATCTTTCGTGTTCCGTTCTCTTCCGAGTCCTCGAATTCTTTCCACTGCGATCGCTCTTTCTTTTTTCTTTTTTTGCTTATCTTTCGTCAATGTCTTCACTTTTTTTTTGGAATCAGGATTCTTAAAGCTTTTTTTGCTGCGTTTTATAACCTGGGAGATTTGACCAAGGCTCCCCGCCTTTTTATCCCAGTTCGCCTCCTCATTGCGGGATGATCTCAGCACAAAACTTTGGAGCGCGAGATCATTGGGATGAATGAAATAGCTATCTTTCTAGAGACCAGCACTGCTAGCGCTACTATATGCAAAAATTTGTAAAAACTAGGCAGTGTGGCGTAGCGTAGCTAGCCCTGGGACGAAAGAGATCACTCTTTCACTTTCATGGCATTCTCCCTCAGACTTTCCCCAAAATTCTCCACACACACGAAAGCTGCTGCTACAAACTGCTCTTGGCTTGTCTCCCTTGTTTTATCAAAATATCATAGCTTCAACAATAGCATGGAATGGAAGCTCCAAAACCTCGGCCAACTTGTCATACCCATATAATGTAACCATCAATCAATCAAGCAATCAGTCAATCACAGGCTAAGAGAGCAAGGTTTGATTTGATTCTCATGTGGAAAACACTATAGTTTCTTAAGCAGAAAGTATAAAAATCGAGATACATTGTCCCCGAATTGTCCCATGGGTGGCAAACAAATCACAAACGCTAGAATGGCATCAACTCCTCCAGGCAAGAAAAGAAATTTCTTGGTGATGACCAAGTTTCAAACATATTTAATAATCTCGCTTATCAGCCAAACCGCATTTAACTACCATTAAGCAGGATTTATCGCAAGTCCACTGTCCACGCGCGGTTGCGAATGAAAAAAGAGAAATCTACCGAGCGGCATGACGTGGAGAACGTCACACCGCACGATCCAACGCTAACGAACGGTGGGTAGGACGTCCACTGTGACGTCCGCCGACTGACGGCCGTCACGTTTTGGCGGGAAGAAGGGCGGCTCGACGCTAAGGCCGTTGCGCCGTCTTGTCCCCCGGTCGGTGTACACAGCGGACACGCGGATATTCCGTGCCGTCTCGGGCATATTCTGCCGGCGTGCTAGAAAACGCCGTTTAAGCGACGAGGCGAGGGGCCTTTTGTTCTTCGGTCAGAAATCTCCATTTGTTTATCTCCTTTACTTTCCTGCCAAGAGCTCTAGCGCCACTGCGCTGCGTGGGTCGTCTTCTTCTTCTTCTTCCTCCAGAATTTTTTTTTCCCTCCTCCACTTATCTTCGATCGATCGCTGGGAGAAGGCGAGTAGCAGCGCAGCAGCGGTGGCAGTCGACCACATTTGATTCTCTGCCGCGCGCGCCCTCTAGAGCGAGATGGGCGCTCTGTTCTTCGAGGTGAGCAGGATTTCTTCGCTTGTCCGGTGACGATCAGCCAAGTGGGTCGCCGCGCCGGGCATCGCTCCGGGATTCTTGAGCGACCCATCTCGAGAATTCGTGGGCAGGGAATTCGTCTCTGTGGGTTTTAGCGGGGGTTTTTTTGGCGGCCCATGGGGAGATACATGAGGAAGAACAAGGTGACCATGGAGGTGTCCCAATCGCTGGGCGTGAGGACCCGCGCAAGAACGCTGGCGATGGCGCAGCAGCAAGCGGCGAGCAGGAAGAATTTGTCCCAAGAGCAGCAGCAGGTCAATGTGCTCAACTTCTGCTACCTGGAGCTGCGCAGCCGCAAGCTCGAGAAGCTGTTTGATGGCGGTGGCGGCGCGAGCAAGCATCACAGCTCCTCCGCCAGGCCTCCCAAGACGCAGCAGCGCCGCGTGAGGAGCTCCGACGCGATCGGAGTCGTCTCGGTTGGAGCGGCGCCGCTATCGCGCAGCAATTCCTTCACCTCCTCCAAGCAGCCTCCTCCCGCGCCTCCGTCACTCAAAAACGATGAGCTCGACGCTGTCAACCATGTCGACTCGAGAACTTCTGGACAAGTAAGCCCCATAGCTCTTGGCGAGAACTTCCAGGTTCTAAAGCTTTGCTCCTCGCAGTTGGAAGGTTCGTGTGGAGACAATGCCTTTGACCACGACGGACTCTCGTCTAGAGACAGGTATGTTTCGATCGTTCTGCCATGGCCAGCTCTATCCTTCTCATGGGTTCAACAGCCATCCACCTCTTCTTCCAGTTTCAGTCCATCCTGTGATAGCTTAGCTTCTTTGATCATCTATCTTCCAGCGATGGTTTTAAGAACTTCTACTCATCGTCTTTCGTGCTTGCGTTCCAGTTTTGGACCCGACCATCATCGCCGGCTCCGCGAGAGCACTCCCGTTTGCACAGACCAGGAGCTCCATCGACGCATAGCCGACGCTCCAGGATCATCTTCCAAAGTCCGGGTGACCAACAGGACGTCTTCCAATCCTCCCGAGGAATCGTCCCGGCCTTTCGACGCGCCCACGCCCGAGGAGATCGAGGAGTTCTTCGCGGCCGGAGAGCAAGAGCCCGACGAGGAAAAGAAGAGATTATCTGACAGGTCCGTGCGGTGCTCCATATCTTTCTCTTTGTCTCTCAGCCAGTGAGTTCGTCTAAAAGTTCGTTCTCTTTGCTCTTTTTCGTGTAGATACAACTATGACTTTGCCAACGATTGTCCACTCCCCGGTCGGTTCGAGTGGACTTCCGCAAGTTCTTGAGCTCCGCCGGTGGTCACACGGGGACACAGCGACAGTTCTCTTCTAGTCTTGGAGGCCGTAGCTCCACTCTTCCTCTCTAACTCTCTCTCGGGGATTCTTTGTGTACAATGGCTCTCCTACTCTGCTGTACAGTCTCATCGCTCGGCTGCTAAAGACTACTCTACTACTCTACTTACACAAGGTCTTCACTAGAACAACACCCAAGTTTTTCTCTCCTTGATCATCCAGTTCCTGTCCGCGCGATGAAGAAACCTTGAGAGTTCGCGATGATCTTCGTCCGAAGGTTCCTCGATGTTTGAAGAACTGGACGACGATAACGACGACGACACAAGCTTCACAACAAGCTGCCGCGCTGCTCTTCTCGTTTTTGTATAGGAAGAGGGAAGAAGCCGAAGCCAGCAGCAAGGGCCGATCCATTCTGATACAACCCAAAACGAGTCAAATAGTCATAGTATCATCAAATCAGTCAAGGAAGACAAACAAAATCTCTCGCTCCAAAGCGCAAGCTCTCCCTTGTCGTGGAATAACTCTGGTTTCATCCTAAGCAGTCTATACTGCTCAAGGCAATCAAGCTCTGTTTTTGCTCTTTCGTCCACACGGTGATCATCAAGCAAGAGATCTCTGGATAAATACCCAGAGAGCTCTCTGGAGCTGGAAAATGACATTGGTGGCGACCATTTTCAAGTTGTGTTCTTCGTCTTTCTTTGGAGAGATCTGGCACTCTTTCCTTGACTGCTGCCCTCGATTACGATTTGGTCCGTGGTGGCAGCGCTGGTAATTGAATCTAGCAAGGCCGGGCCAAGAGTCCACATTCGCTCGTGTTTGGCTTTGCCTCTCTCTCTCGGAAACATCATTCTCTCTTTGGGTTCTTGGCTGGTTTGTTTGATTTCATTAAAGCCCGGTGATACGAATGCCGTACGTGGAGACAACCAAATGCCCTAGAAAAACGATTCATGCACGAAACAGTGCTTGTACGTAACAGGCTTCGGGTTAAACAATCCTCCTCTTTTTCTTCGGGTCGTGATTTTGCATGTCGGCCGCAACGTGGAGAAGCAGTGTCAGCCGGACACCAAATATCAAAAATTTAAGATCTGGGCGAGGTTTTCTCGTGTTCTCTACTGTTCTTTACAAGCTTGAAGCATTGAAAAGTGTGGATAATGTGGTCACCACACGGGCAGGACCTCCCTCTCCCTCTCTGTCTCTCTCTCTAACTCTATTGCTCCACAAACACATGATTGAGAGCTATGATCTATCCAAAAGTCGATGTTTGTTGATCAAAGTGTGGAGACCTTGGGGCTTAGAATATAAATGAGAGTTGCCGGGTACCAGTACGTGTGGGTGACAAAAATATTCCAGGATCTAGGGCTTTTAAACTTGGCAGGGACGAAGAAACACCAAAACGAATATTATAATTGCAACCTTTAATTACCAAATTAAGTTGTGTGCACGCGTTTAAAAAACTATAAGTTTCCATAAATATTAAATGCGGGGAGGGGGGGGGTTTTTTCAAAAAACCGCGGGCAAACGCGCGGGAAAACAAAAAGACCGCGCCAAAACCACGGACGGAATATGCCCGCACTCATTCCGGCGGGTGTGTACGAAAGGCGCGCCATCCGCGCCCTCCGCTCCAACGGCCGCGATGCCGCCGTACGCATCGCCAGGGGAATCTCTTTTCCGTACCGTGCTCCGATCTTTTGTGGATGATTGGGGTGGCAGGATGGCTCCGATTTGATGGTTGTTTTGTGCATGGCCGGTTTCGATCTCACACGTAAAATGTGGGCAGGGTTTCAGTTTTTCCACCCAGTTTTTGTAGCAGACTCTTAAGCACTCAGCCTGCAGCTCGCAGAAGAATAGAAGAAAGTGGCTCTTCGGCTAAAAGATTCTACCTTTTCTGTATATATATTGCGAAGAAAATAGCTATATTGCAAAAGAAACGCAGCTTTCTCCTCAGGTAGCAGCAAACTGCACATACGTGGAGCCGAGAGCTGCATACGTGCCTGTAATAATACCACGGATGGGAACAACACTCTGGGGGTGTGAGGTGAAAAAGATGGCGGACTTTGATTGGGGTCCTCGTTTCGAACGTATGCATGCGAGTGATCTCGTGACAGGGCTGGAAATTTTCGCCCCAAATCCATCTCTTGGGGAGCTTGCGTTGCCCACTGTGTGTTTGCATGTCCTAGAGTGCGTGGTGACAATGGACGACTTGAATGGGGGCGATTGAAACGTCGGGCGAGAGAGACAATCGCCCAGAGAGATGGAAAGATCCACGGATTTATAAGTGTACGGTAACCCTGGCTTGCTAGATTTAGCGGCGAGCCGCCGCTAAAAGTGGAGCAATCGCTGTCCGTAGATATTCCCTGTGAAGGGTTGGACAATGGTACATTGTGACTATGAGATTGCGTGGAATATTTTGTAGCATGATTTGCCACCTTATCAAATGGAAGCCACTGATTCACGTGAACGTTGTTGTGGCAAGAGGATAGAATCAAACGAGGGGGATATTTGTACACTCGCCTCGAGGCCAGTGTGTCTCGTACATGATATGAGTATTGTTATACAGTACATGGTCTAGTACGCTTTGTGGGCCTCTACCTAGTGTGTAGATGGGCCTGGAGGATGGACAAAAGCATACCAAATAATTTGTGCTCTCTTTTCAATGACCAGTTCTTTCACATCTCCAAAGGCTCCAAGACAAGCAAAAAGGGGGAGAGCAGAAAGTTCTACCCTAGAAGCCAAGAAATGGAAAGAAGAAGAAGAGACTTCTTCCATAGCTAGGAAGATTTGGCAGGCCCCAAGTCAGGATAAGAGGAAAAACTAATGTGTTGAGAGTGGGATTCGAACCCACGCCCTTTCGGACCAGAACCTTAATCTGGTGCCTTCGACCAACTCGGCCATCTCAACTTTGGACATCCGTATGCTTCCGTATGATCCTCCGTACGCATGACTTTGTCCGGCGTGGATGACTTTGTCCACCTCGCTCGGTCGTGCGCAAGGAGCAAATCGCTTGAGGATGCACGGGAGCTGGATTGGAAGATCGCCCAGAGCGCGCACTCCGGCAACAGGTTCCTGGCGAATCTCGTCGTGGACATGTACGGCAAGTGCGGCAGCTTGCAAGACGCGAGGAATGCGTTTGCTCGGATCAAAGATCCAAACGTTTACTCGTGGAACATCGTAATCGCAGCACATACCCAGAACGGGCAGCTGGATCACGCCCGTTTGCTGTTCGATCAGATGCCTCACAAGGATATAGTCTCGTTCAACTGTATCATCGCTGCGTATGCGAGAAAGGGCGACTTGCGGGAGGCGAGAAAGATCTTTGAGAAGATGACCGATCGAGACACCGTGACTTGGAACACGATGCTTGCTGCGCATGCCCAAGGGGGGCATTTGCGTGAGGCGAAGCTTTTGTTCGATCTCATGCCTTCCAAGAATGTGGTGTCTTGGAACGCGATGATCGGAGCTTACGCCGCGGCGGGACTGCTTGCCGAGGCGCGGCTCGTCTTCGATCGGATGCCCACCCGCGATGTGGTGTCGGGGAATGCGATGATCGCCGCCTACGTCCACGGCAGCCAGATCCATGAAGCGCGACGGATCTTCGACTCCATGCCAGAGAGAAATGTGGTGGCCTGGACCGCGATCATGGCTGGCTATGCCAATGCTGGCTACCTCGATTTCGCGAGGATCATCTTTGACAAGATACCCAACAAGAACATCGTCTCTTGGAACGCGATCATCGCCGCGTACATCCAGCACCACCGCTTGCTCGAAGCTCTCGCGATGTTCGACGATATGCCACAGCGGGATGTTGCGTCGTGGAACACGATGATCGCGGGGCTTGCGCAGGCCGGGCGGATCGATCATGCGCGCCGGCTTTTCGATTCCATGCCCAAGCGTGATCTTGTGTCATGGAACACGATGGTGAGTGGCTATGCGGCGTTGGGCTTCTTGGGCGAAGCTAGAGCGATCTTTGAAAAGATGGTAGACAAGGACGTTGTGTCGTGGAACACGTTAATTGCGGCATATTCTCACAATGGTAATGTACGTGAGGCAAAGATTCTCTTTGACAGAATGCCCGAGAGGGATAATCCGTCGTGGAATGCCATGCTTTCAGCATATGCCGGTTCTGGGCATCTGGAAGATGCTAAGCGTTTGTTTGACAAGATGCCGGACAAGAATGTGGTGTCTTACACGTCAATGGTAGCGGCTTACGGGAGCAATGGCTGCTTGAACGAAGCAAAGGAGATGTTTGATTCGATGGTGGAGAGAAACGTCGTGTCGTGGAATGCGATGATCGCGGCATTTAATCAAAATGGTGGTGCTCGAGAGGGGATCGCGCTGTTCAAGGTGATGGATCTCGAGGGCGTGGAGATGGACAAGATCTCCATAGTTTGTGCTCTTGAGGCTTGCGCGCTGGCTGTGTCGCTTGTCGATGGAACTCGCGTCCACTCCAGCATTCTCGGAGGCAAGCTCGCTAGGGACTACGTCGTGCAGACCGCGCTCGTGAACATGTACGGCAAGTGTGGGAACCTGGTCGAAGCTCGAAGGATCTTCGACTCGATGAGCTTCAACTTCCAGGACTCGGTGCCTTGGAACTCCCTCATTGTGGCCTACAGCCAAAACGGCGAGGGCGACAAGGCTCTGGATCTGTTTGGAACGATGGTGCTGGATGGGATGATCCCGGACGAGATCACCTTCATGGGAGTTCTCAGCGTTTGCAGCCACGCGGGGCTTCTCGAGGAGGGTCTGCAATACTTCCGGACTCTGGGCGATCACGGGATCGTCCCGACTGTGGATCACTACAAGTGCGTGGTTGATCTGCTGGGACGCGCTGCGAAGCTGGAGGAAGCGTCGGGTCTCGTGGAAGCAATGCCGTATGAGCCCGACGAAGTTGCATGGATGACTCTCCTCAGCGCTTGCAAAGTTTACGACGATGACAAGATTGGGATGCGAGCGGCGGAGGGGCTCGTGGAGATTGATCCAGAGACGGCGGCACCGTATGTGTTGCTGTCCAACATATACGTAGAAAGGAACAAAGGCCCCGTAGCCGGAGCAAAGAAAGGATGAGATATTTGGGAAATCGTGAAGGATGCTGCGAGGAAGATACACTGGTAGTATACGCGACAAAGACCACTCCCATATGGATCCATTCCTCGAGAAATTTTGTTTGATGCTATCTTCTCGGAGATCTCTCACAAAACGTCTTCTTCGCATCGATCGGCTTCTCCAGTTTTGAGACCGCGAACCTCTCGACCAAGATCAAAAGGGCCCGGGATCATTGAAACGAAAGCACTGGGAATTGTCATCAAATCCTTGGAAAAGTTCACAGAAGTCTCTGTGACTTCACAGATGGAACAAAAACAAAGTCTCCTTGAGTTCACGCACCTTTTTCATTGCACTCCAGACATTCTCGCCCAGTCCACGAACTGCATGCCTCCGTAGACGTTGTTCGCGAATCTTACGCCCACAGTGAACGCCATCGCCACCAGCGGGACTCTCTTGGCCACCGGGCTAGCCTCCACTACACGCTCCAAACCATTGATGACTTGGTACCTCGTGTTGGAAGAAACACCCATGAACACGGCCCAGAGGAGAGCCGACTTGACGAGGGGTGGAACAGGGACGTCGGCGTGGCCCGGTTTCCCCATTTTCCTGTAAGACATCGGGGCTAAGCTCATACCGTCGAGAGAAAAAAGCATGTAAAGGTACCTCTTGAGAACCATGATCGAATTCGCAACCCCTTGACCAACCAATCCACAAACAAACCCCACAACTCCGTATTGAAGAGCCTGTGTAAAGGAGAGAGCGTCAGGCAATACAATCCGTTTGAAGTTTTTTTCCACCTTGAAGAAAAATGCGCCTAGTCGTTGTTGTACACTGAACTTCCGTCCTGGTCTCTCGGCTTCAAAAATGCTGGCAAAGAAAAAGCATGGCTGAAATATGTGCAAGTTTAAGGCGGACAGTACCTGCTTGGCAGAGCTTTGATCGTTCTGGACAAGCGTCCAGCCGACGCAGGAGCGGCTCCAAATTGGACAAACGGAGCCAGCATCGTCACAAGCGCAACGTCCATGACGATGCCTACCAGCAAGTCCGACATGTAGAGCTCAAACTCGTTCCAAAAGTCCTTGCCACGCTTGTTGACCTCTGCAAACGTTGCACAGCCGGAATCAATAGCCACCTGTAGTACACAATACAAAAACAACCTTGAAACCAAAGCGAGAAGAAAACCATGCATGTACCTCGGTGAGAACTTTGAAAAGAAAGCTTGGATCCGCAAGCATCCGGTTGCGTAGAATCGGACTACTTCTCACCGCTGGACCAAGAGGCCAAGGAGCAGCCTGATCGAAAGAGTCAAGTTGAGCAAGCAAAGAAGAAAATGATCACCTGAAAATCCAAGTAGCGTGTGAGGATGAGCTCTCGAAGCCCACTAGCTTTCGCAGCCTCGGCCAGATCCGCGGGAAGAACAGCCCCTCTCGCTTTAACCTGCCTTTCAACCTCCTCGGCGCTCAACAGGGATCCAAATTCCTTTTCTGCCCGATCGGATCCACCGTCGTCGCCATCACCATCGCCACTTCCATCGTCCCCTCCTCCCCCTCCTCCCCCCTTCCCTCCTCCACCGCCATCGCCAAAATCCTCTTCTCGATGCTGATGATCCTGGGCGATATTCAGCACATCCACGCCGGATCCGGGCGCCGAGCAGCGGATTGGAAAGATTTGTCGCTTCTTGGCGAGAAAAAAGCCCCACCTGACACGGTCGATCTTGATTCTGGCGGCTCCCACGGCCACGATGCCCCGGAAACGCGCAGCATTTGCATGATCGGCGATGGAGGCGGCAGTGGTGGCGCTAGAGCAGCGCTCCACCGCCAGCATTCTCACCTCTCTTCCCTTAAACCCTAAACCCGTCCTGGAAGAATGGCCAAAGTTCACGTGGAAAATTCGAGCCTTTAGTTTCCTAACAGGATTCGAACGCGAGTAGAAATTTATACATAAAAAGAATTAGTTTTAATCTTTAATAAGTTATTAGAATACTGCTAAATTAATTGCATTACCCAAAAAGTCTAAGAATTTTTTAGATATTACGGTTTTGTGAGTTTAAGTGTATGGCTACAATGCCCTATACTAATATTAGTGTAGTGGGATTTTGGTAGCTGTTAAATTAGTTTTAATCCAGATTACTCATTTTTGTATACAAATTAGGGTTAATATGCATATTTCTGTATTCCATTTCTATATTTTATACATTTACATTGGTGAAGATAAGGAGTAGCTTTACTTGTTCCTAAAGAGTGTTTAGATTTTGCTTTAGATTTAACTTTTACATTGTTTAAATCTCTTTTTTCTTATAATTTTTCTAAAATTTTTCTTTTTTGCTCTTTTACTTTCATTCATTTTTATAGTAAAGTAATAGCCTCTTCCTTTTTGACTTTAGAGCAATAATTGGTGCAATTGCTCAATGGTATGTAATTGCAATTAAACAATCAAACTCAGTTGATAGTGGCATTTATGGCATGTGGTATAACTACTCTTACTTTTGCTACCAATCCTTAAGTTTAGCTAAAGATTTTCCATAGGAATTCTAGGGATAATATATATCATTAGTTCAATCACTTTATAATGATTGCCATATATCATTCTTGGGATGATGCTCAGTGTTTACATGAATTTCTCACGCAATGGTACAATGGTTTAAGTGCAGCCATTCATAAGGATTAAAGCATTCTCTCAGACATCAAAAATGAGCTTGGAAAGTAAACACTATATGAACTAGTGCTGAGTGAATCCTTTGATAATCTATAAGCAACCAAAGAAAACGATTCGAGAGACAGTCCATGGGATTCAAATATAGAGGGAAAGGGCCCATGAACAAGAGTGCACCCCCTTTTCCAATCGGTTAAGGGTCTTGGGATATTTAGGGTTAAGCGTCCTTGGGTTAAAATAGTACTGGGCTGGGTGACCTCCCGGGAAGTTCAAACTCAGGAGCTTACATTTGGTATTGGAGCGGGTCTTGGGTCCGACTCTGTTGGTTGGCTAGGGGAATCACACCACATGTTGATTGACATCTGGCTGGTCCAGTTTGCTCCTGTTGGGCTCGACCCGAGGGGTAGGGTGTCAAGCGGCTCTCAACTTCCGTTCACGAGGGCGTGAACTTGTAGGGAAGCGTGGTGGATTGTAAGCAACCAAAGAGAACGACTCGAGAGACGGTCCATGGGGTTCAAATATAGAGGGAAAGGGCCCATAAACAAGAGTGCACCCCCTTTTCCAATCGGTTAAGGGTCTTGGGATATTTGGGGTTAAGTGTCCTTGGGTTAAAATAGTACTGGGCTGGGTGACCTCCCAGGAAGTCCAAACTCAAGAGCTTACATAATCCTCTCAAAAAAAAGATGGAGGAGGGGTCATTAACTTATTCGCACAAGTACCTTTTGCTAATCGTGTGACTCTTTATTTTCCGAAAGCATCTCGGTGTCCAAACCTTCTACTGTAGCAGTGTCAATAGGGTATTATCAATGCCAAGGTCTTCACCTAGAAAATGAAGGTTATCAATTTGGAAAATGCTAACAATGTTAATAAGTGTGACCAACTTCATCATACGCTCAATAGAGGATATCATGGCCATGACCATGTTCTCGTGCTTATCCTTGAACCCAGGTAGCAACAACATTAACCTCTATTGGAATAGGACCATCTCTCATATGAAGTGGAGCTAAAGGACATGCAATGAGAAGTGAAAAAGGTGACATCTCATAATGTTATATTAAATGAAAAGCATCATTAAAGGTGGCTGGAGCAAATGTATACATAAGTTCTACAAGATCTTGACGAAGTGAACTTGATCCACTCTGATATATTTGGCTCCGCACGAAGTAAGCGGCTTCAAAACCAAATGCTAAATTGCATCATAGACTTAAATGACCCTTGATGAAGACAATGCAATTGTTGGAAGATATCATTGTAATTGTCAACATATTCAAGTTTTATAACAAAAGGTCTTCTATTATTCTCTCCATGTTTGTTAATACAAAATCAAGTTTATCTTCTATTGCTCAGCCTATTGCCACACATTGTTGTTTACATTTGTGTAGTGTGGTAGAGCTAGTTTTCATTCTATATGGCAATAGTTGTACACATATATGTATGTATACAAGATGAGGTAGACCTAGTTGTGCATATGCGTGATTTCAAGCCTGAGCTACAATCATTGTGGATGGTGCTAAGTTAAGTTTTTAACCTTATCCTTAGTATGGATTGGTTGCGGCGTAATCATGCTAAATATGACTTTGAAACTTTTCCCCCTTATCTCATACTTCTTTATATGTCATTTATTCCTTTCACTTTTGTTCTTCTCCATCCTTTTACTTCTACCTCTACTTCCATCACTTTTGTCTTCCCATTACTTCCTTTTATATTTTCATTTTGCTCCTTTATTCCCTCTTCCGATCTTTTTAATAGTCTTTGTGTTGTAGTGATTGATCAACTTATGCAGGAGTATATTAATATGTTATTTGGGATCAAGATTGCAACACATCATTTTATTCCAACTAAGGATGCTCATTTAATCAAGGTTTTTGTTCATCATCAATCACCAAAAGAGATCAAAATCTTATACGCAAACATCAAAGAAATGTTGGAAAATAGTGTTATTTGAAAGTTATGGAGTCCTTGGGCATGTGAATCTCATATTATGACAAAATCTGATTGGAGTATTCACTTTTGCATCGATTATCATCTGTTAAACGAAGTGATGATTCTAGATGTGTACCTTCTTCCTCACACTATTAATCTCTTGGATCGTTTAAGGAGAATTTGTTAATTCACCAAGTTAAATCTTGCTTTTGGGTATTAATAAGTGCCAATGGCCAAAGAAGATATTCCTAAGATTCCATTTAATTTGAATAATGTTCTAGCAACTTTTTAGTAAATGATAAATGAGGTTCTTTATGACATATTGGAAGTAACTATTGACTTCATCAATAATGGATCTCGAATCTTGATAAGCCCTTTAAAGTGCATTATGATACATTTGGCTATGCTATTGAGGATGTGGGAGGAATATATCTGTGATGTTCATAAGGTGCTGGATTAGCTATAGAAAGTTGATCTAAAGATGAAGTAGTCAAAGTGTGTGTTTGGGTCTAAGGACATAACTTATCTTAGATACTATATTTTTCATGAGGGCTTGTAAATTGATCTTGACAAACTTGTGGATGTTCTAAAGCTCCTTATTATAACATGTGTAAATGATATGCATCGCTTCTTGTGTAAGATGTAATATCTTGATTGTTTTGTTGATCATCTTTCTGATCACACTACATTATTGTGAGCGTTGTTGAAATCATCAATATCATCTTTCATCTGGTCTATGGATTGTGAGAAGGTGTTTACAGATTTTAAAGAATTATTGACAACTCCTTCAATTTTGGCATATCCTAGCTATACTCAACCTTTCATTTTATGCGTAGACTTTTAATATCGGTTTTGGAGGTGTGCTAATGCAAAAATTCTCAAATATGTTTGGTTAGCACTATCCCATTACATATATCAGCCATATATTACAATTAACATAGATGAATTACTCCATGATAGATAAAGAGTGTTTAGCAGCAGTTTGGGGTTTCAAGAAATTTCATATATATTTACATGGTTCTCAAATATTACTAAAAAGTGATCATGCTGCAGTTATTTAATTATTGAAGTGGAAGAACTTGGTTGGTTCAATTACTCAATGGGGTATATAATTTTGATGTTGTTTATTGCCTGAAGAGTTTTTATAGCTAATATTGATGCCCTTTCTCAAACTCCTTTTCCTTCTTCGCTCTCTTATTATGTTTTTTATGAGTCTATTGTTCCAGCACTTATGGATTTTGTAGACATAACATTAACGGTTGCTATACTTAATATTTAGTGTTCACAAGGTGTAGAGCAAAATTTACCTTTTCTTGATGATTCGAAAGCTTTGAGATAGGTTTGAGAATCCTAAATCATTTATTAATGACTTGCTATTTTAGCATTTATATTTTTAGTATCACATTGAGGATGGCCTTCTTTATATTGTGGGGACAAATCCTAATGATCATTTATAGTTGGTGGTGCTTTCAATCTTTATTTCATGCTTTCTCCACGCTTACCATTATTCTCCTATTCTAGGTAGGCATATGGGACATTGTTCTATGACCAAAAAGCTACACAGGTCTTTCTATTGGTCAAATATGTGATGTGATGTTATTTGGTATGTGCATCTTGTAAGCTCGTAATACTCCCCTTCACGCTGCAAAAGGACAGTTGGAGTCAATTGCAATTTCTTATATGTTTGAGTTGATAGCATTCAATCTGATAGGGCCTTTTCCACGATCGATTGTTGGTAGTGAGTATGGCAATATTGCTTCTCATTACTTGACTCATTGGGTGGAAGTTAGTGCTCTTTCTAGTACATCTACAATTGCTATTAGATACTTCCTCCTCAATTTAGTAGTGTTTTAGCATTCTTGTCCGAAGCAGATTCTTTTGGATAATAGTCCCATATTTATGACTGAGGCATTTCATGTTTTGATGTTTTAGTTGAGGATACACTACACTTTCACGAGTGCTTATCATCCATAGACAAATGGTTTAGTGGAACGGCTCATTCAGACCTTCAAAGGGATGATTGCAAAGTACGTGAACTTTCAACATTTAGATTAGGATGGTTATTTGTGATCTCTTTGGTATACATATATCACAAGGGTGTAAAGTTCTATTAGTGTTTCACTATATAATCTTCTATATGGTCATGATTTAATACTATCAATAGAGTTGGGTTTACCTTCATAATTGCCATAAGTTACCAATGCTAGGTCATAGGATTAATATTTGATGAGCATTCTTCCACTTATTTGACACCTGAGCCGCATATAAATGGGACAAGAATGGCATTACAACTCCTATCATTGTCCGCATATAGAGTATAAAGTGGATGACTTGGTGTTAGTCTATTTTCCCAATCTTACGGTACATGGTTTATCTAAAGGGCTCCTTGCTCAGTGGAAAGGAGCATATTAAATGTTGTGGCAAATGGTATTGCAAATTTATGAGGTTTGATATGATGTTTAATATGTAAATCATCCAGAATCTATGCATGTGTAATAGTTAAAATGTTTCATATAAAGGGATCATGAATGCTAATACCTCCTCCTAATATTCCTCTAGATCCTAGCCCATCTACAAAAGAATGGTTTTCTATCATTTTGAGAGGAAAGTATGATGTGAGGTCTAAGTGTATGGTTACGATGTTCTATATTAATATTAGTGTACTGGATTTTGATAGCTGTCAGATTGGTTTCAAACTAGACCACTTGCTCTTGTATATAAGCTAGGAGTTTTGAGATAATTAATATGTACATATTTTTATTCAATTTCTATTTTCCATATACTCACAATTTTAATTTATTTTAGAAAAATATTAAAAAATTAAATGACATTTTTAATAAAATGAATATTTTTCCAGATTTATAGTGTAAGCTAGGAAATTCTTGAGTTGTTAACTCTACATGGATCACTAGTTAAAAAACTAAATCTTTAGCAAGTTTATTATTATAAAGTATTAGATAAAAATTAGAAAAAATATAAATTTTTAACTTTTGTAATATAAAAATAATGCATAATAGTAATAATTTATTTAAAGGTGCTATTTCAACTATGAAGCATTAAAAAATATATTATTGATGGTTTGCAGTAATTATTCATTAAAGGAAATATTAAAGTTAAACCTAAATATAACCAATATATATAATAAAGATTATGATAAAATTATAAATGGCTTTACAGAAATATCATTTTGAATAATAAAAAATTAGTATAGTTTACATATAGATAAATATGCACCATTACATGAAAAGATTTGAAATATATAAATATTTAAATTTTATTTTAATAACTTAAATATTAGTGGCATCATTACCTAAAAATTAAATAAAATACAAATAGTAATACGTTTCTAATTTAACATAACACAAAAATATTTTATTAATTACTTATTCATATTTAATATAATATGAATATTGGTCTTTTATTACCACCAGTAATAGGAAACAAATTATGCAATTATTGTTGGTGTAAACCATGCATGGCTTTACGTTAAGTATAGTTTCAATATTTTTTTTTTTTACTTTTAATGGTTTATTGCATTACCAAGACTATTGCATCCTTTTTATCTTTTCTCTAGAGTATGCTATATTTATCTTTTTTTGAAAAAGATCATAGCATTTTCTCCTTTTTCCAAATGACAAAAATATTTACATAATGTTATTTTTGTTACTAAAGAATTTTAAAAAATAAATAAATAAATTTACTGCAATTAAGCAATTAAATTCCTGAAAAAGTTTTAAAAAAACTTGAACATTGAGATCTATGCTGCAACTAAATAAAAATTTTAGGAATCAGAATAGAATGCTTACTAAAAATAAAGTTTTCAACAAATCTTAAAATTCCTCTCAGAAACTCAATAAAACTTGTTTTGCAAACAATAGCAAAGCAAGAAAGAGAAACACAAATGAAAACTTAAACCTATTAGCAGAAAATATCTAAAAAATAATTGGAATTGACTAACAATTAGTTCCTCTGCTACAACTGGATCAAATTTAAGGAACCAGAACATTAAGAGAATGTTTCCAGAGAAACACAAATGCAAGCTGCGACTGGATGATTCATCTGAGCCAGTGTCAAATCTCTACAAAACTTTAATAAGGTGGAAAGTATCCACAACCACTTTAATCGCGAGCGATCGAGGACACTGCAGTTTAGTGATAATACAAACGCCTTAATGCTTTTTCCGATTCTTAACGGAGTGTTGCGACAGGCGCTTCATGGCACCTAAAGAAATCTGCGTGTCTCTGGATAGAGAAAAATAAAAAAGAAATAACACGAAACTTTTCCTTTCAAGAATCAGCAATGAGAGTGCGTACCTTCTGTAGATGTAAAGCCCAGTGTAGAATAACAGCACAATCAAGACAGTGAAGAAGCAAGCTGCGTAGTAAACAGGTTGATTTCCCCTGTGCTGAAGAACCGAAAAAACCAAACTTGTAGGCAAGGAGATATCAAAACTTTTGTGGCTTACTCCACTTCCTCTAGGAAAGTAGCTCCTTTTCCCTGGCTTGCAGCTGTGAGCGTCGCAAAATTGTCGTAGGAAAAAATCTGGGAACAAGCTTGCGGATGAGGAATGAATTTATGAAAGAAGCGTTAGATGGACAGACCATTGAGGCGCGTTGCCTGTGCACCTTGTTGCGGAGGAAAGCACGAGTTTGCTAGTTTCTACTACAGACGGGAGAAGAGGAGTGAGCAACAAAAGAAGTTCTTAGTGATGGTTCCAGACCTCGCACAAGTGACGATTACGATCGACACTGGGGCTGCATTTGTTTTTGGAGAACTTGTGCTTGTCCTTGGTCTCCATGTAGTCGCAGTGCAAAGCGCCACAAACATCAGCTAGACAATTGTCGCGGCTCTAGAAACAAGCGTAGAAAAACTGGTGTTTTCTTTCTAACAAAAGAGGAAGAATAGACGTACCACATTGAGCGTTTCGGAATGCCGGTTGTCGAAATGCAAGTCGAGGTACTCCTCGCTCTCGAAAATCTTGTGGCAGTATCCACAACGCCAGTCGTGTATGTGGTAGAACTGCTTCTCACGCTCTTGCTCTCTGAAAGCGTCGTTGCTAGCATGCAAGCGACACTGTGGAGACAAGGCATAGTTTTCATTCTCCACGAAAGGCAAAAGATACTGTAACACAAAAGAGCCAAAGGAAGAAACAAAGTAGTGGATCAAAGAAATTAAGCTGGAAAGAAGAACCTCTTCCAAAATGTGTCTCGCCGTCCGGCTTCTAGCCCTGGAACACTGCACTCCATGATCCCCAGCAGCAGCAGCAGCTCTACAGCGCGAAATCAATCATTTTCCCCACAGTTCCAAGCGATCGATGCACGATGCAATGTGCTACTCACAGATTATGCGATCCAAGAAGAAGAGGAAGAAGAAGAAGAAGCAGCGCCGCAGAATCGATCGCGCCCAGCATCTGGCGCCCCTCCCAGCTAGCTCTAGGGCTCCTCGCTTAAACAGAGACAGAATATCCACAAGAACCCTGTTTTTTAGGGTTCCTCGAGCGTGGAGACAGTTGATGTTACACGGATCAACAAGCGGCACAAGGCAAGCGACATCCCATTCTTTGCCTCCAATGTCTCTTCGATGGATCCGCGGAGTCTTCTCTATCTGGTGAGGACGCGATGCTCAAACTCGGGGAGCTGAGCTTGCGCTACTGGATCTCCGACCTCTGGGAGCTTCTCTTCTGTTTGAGCTCTTCGTGGCGGCCCAGAGATGAAGACCAAGGAGATGAAGGTGAGTGCCAAGCGGACGAGGACGATGACCATTGCGGAGGCCATAGCTCCGGAGAGTGAGAAGAGTTCCAAGACAAGTGGAGACGAGGACGAAGTCGAGGTTGAGGAGAAAGATGAGAATCAATCCCATCCACATCCAGAGTTCGCGTTCAAGGTGGTGTGGAAGCGCGGTGTCTGTGCACTTCCCGGTCGGACACCGAGGACGTGGATCTCCGCACGACCTCGATCTCCGAAACTCTGCCGCGGTTGATGCGCTCCGGGGTGAAGTGTGGCATCCAAAACGTGGAGAGGGGTGCTCTGGCCTGGAACTTGTTTGCGGTGGCGGAGCTGGACTGCATTGGCGTTGTTGAGGTGATCGACGGGGTGATTACCAAGGAGTCACTAGAGCAGTTCGTGCTGGACGAAGAGAAGCATTGGTGGCAGATGAGCAATTGGGGAAGTTTTTGGTGGCGGACTTGTACGTGCAGCGGAGTCCGGAGGGTCTCGAGTCCCGAGAATATATGAGACGATGATGCTGCTCGACTATCTTCTCCCGGCTTTGCAGTCGCAAAGCTGGACTCCGGAGGACGTAGAGAATCGGATCGATGAGAAGCAGAAAGGCCTTTGCAGCGATCACTAGTCTGCGAATCCTCGGATTATAGCCGAGTGACTAAAACTTATCGACTTTGTGTGTCTGAGGCTACGCTATCTTCTTCCGGCTTCTTCTCAAAACTAGATGATGGAAATGGAGGAAAATCGTAAAACAATCAGTCAAGAGCTCGCGAATCATCTCGCTCTTGCTTGGATCGATCGAGGACAACAGCCCAAAATCTTGATCGAAAGATTAAGAAAGAACCTTAGAGAATATCCACAAGGGTATCATTGGCCAGAGCCAAAGGGATAAAGTACCTCTATTCTCTCGCCACGTCTCGCTTTATCCGGAAATATTTAGGGTTAGGGCTCGCTGGGCAGTGGGATATATAACCAGTGTAGGGTTGGGAGATGGCTTCCGGTGACACGGGCGCGATCGAGGCGGGTCCCGTGGCGGCGCCCCCTCCCACAGCGGCGTCCACGACTAAGAGGAAGCGGCGCCTTGCGGATCTAACAGCTGAGGAGGTTTGTAATCGCCAAAGCAACCAAGCACAAAAAAAAAGAGGAGTTTCTTTTGCGAGGTTTTCTTGTCTCGATCCAATTTTGATCCATTTCGATCTAACGCTAGCGTGTAGAGGGTCTAAACATTGATGCATTTGCTCTCTTTTTGCAGAGTTTTTGAGAGCTCCTCGGTCTTGAGAGGGAGGTTTTGTGAATGCGGCTTCTTTTAAGTGGTCTCTTCCATTGCAGATAAACGAGATTGTGGCACTGAGAGGGAAAATGCCTCAGACTGTTGTGGGGAAGCGATTTGGCATTGAGCAAACGGAGGTTAGTGCCATCCAGCGCTTGCAAAGAGCCAAGACTGCTCGGCTTCTCGAGGACCAAGAGAAGAAGGTAAAGTTCGATAAGCTCTATCAATCGATCTAACTTCCGGTTTTCCTCCATAGAATCCTATCAAGAGAGTGAAGAATGTGGAATTATCAGTTCCAATAGCGTATGGTACCATATCTTTCTGGCTGGGGAAGAAAGCAGACGAGTAAGAATTCACGTTTCTTTTTTTTTCTTTTTAAACTTTTTTGTGCTTGTTCTTTTCTAGCTTGCATTCTCATAAATGGACCGTGTACATCCGTAGTGCCACCAATGAAGACTTAGGACCAATTATCAGCAAAGTGGTGTTTCAGCTACACCCGAGCTTTAACAATCCAACTCGAGTTGTGGAATCAGCTCCATTTGAGCTAAGCGAATCGGGATGGGGGGAGTTTGAGATCAGCATGACTGTGTTTTTCCAAAAAGATGCGGCTGAGAAGACGCTCGAGCTGTAAGTTCCTTCCACCAGATTTAACATTCGTCTCAAAAGCAACCTCTTCCACCAGGTTTCACCACTTGAAGTTGTACCACGAAGATGACAATGCTCCACAGAGCACGAAAAAGCCTGTGGTTGTGGAGTCGTATGACGAGCTGGTGTTCCAAGAGCCGACGGAAGCGTTCTACTCGAGGGTGAAAAACCTCCCGGCAGTTCATGTGAATGGCTCGCCAGGCGAGCTCAATGTCTCGTCGGGTAAGGCAGTGATGGTTTCGTAGTTCTTATCTATTCTCTATGTTTTTCTTTCTAGGTGCTCTAGAAATCTCAAACGAGAGGAAACGAGGAGACACCAAAGATCATCAGCTCGGCCAATGGTTTGGCAAGTACTCGGAAACGGATGAGTTAACGTCGATCATGGGGGCTCGACAACAGGTACAAAAAGAGATCGCGAAGTTGAAAAGTATGCTTGATTCTGAAGCAATGAAACTCAAGCCGAGCGCTCCTTAGATGTTTTCCAAACAGGATTATAGTTCGACTTAGCCCGTGGTAAAAGTTCTAGCTACTCTCCTCGGAAAATGTATCAGTGCTCTCGAGAGGCTTAAGAACAGGTCCCGGAATTACAATATCTTTCAAAGATTGTTGTTACTGGACTGGAGTTCGCTGTTTAATGCAATAGAATTGCTAAGATGTTTGCATCCTATCATTTTTATAACAGCTAAAATGGCTCACAACGAGTTAGAAGTTTTGATTAAAGGGATAAGAGATATGATGGAGCATAAAAAACTTGTGCTTCTTCCAGGTCTTCACATGTGCGCATGTTGAAAATCCAGTGGTCAATTTAAATTAAAGGTTGAGGGCAAGAGCGTCCTTCCTCGAGGAGTTTTCCTGCCTCCATAGCTTGCATCAGTGAAGGCAAGTGATGGTTATCTTGGATCCCTTTCCGGGCGTGGTAATCAGTGATACTTTGGAGATATTTTGGAGATGAGGATTTCAGTTTTGACTATTGAGGTGAGTGTGTGTTTTATTATGGAAACTCACAATACACGGTAGTAGTTCTATGCAAAAAACTTTTGTCCATTAACTTTATTCCTATAGAGCCTACACCAATCTTCTGGGACAACTTGCACTCACAAAAGGAAACGACGTTCGAACGAAGTTTCACTTCATACGGGACCATGTTCGGGAGGGAACTTTAAAAGTTTATTTTCTTCTAAGCCACAAACAGAGCACAGACAATTTTACTAAACCTTTAGTAGAGGCCATGTTCATAAATCATCATCACACTCTAGGCTCCTAGTTAGCTCTAGTTAGCTAGTAGAACCCATATCAATCTTGAAAGCAATCTAGGAGTTTTTCAGAGGAAGAACTCCCAGATTGTAACGATGATTTGGGAATGTGGCCTATGCTAAGAAAATGTTCAATCTGTTTGTAGAAATGAACCTTTAGAGTTCCTTCTTGAGCATGGTTTTTGTTAAACCACTGGATTTTGCAACATGTGCACATTGTTTGAATGTGCTTCCTTTTGCCATGATGCCTCACTTCCTTTGTGAGTGCAATTGTTGCGGCAAAGATTACTATAGGCTCTATAGGAATAAAGCTGATGGATAAAAGATTTTTATGTAGTAAAAAAGCCTCTTATGTCATTGCTGTTAATGCCACATACTTTGCTTTTGTGCTACGCAGAGCTGTAACATGTTGCTTCTTACTTACCTCCTATAGTTGAACCTGAATTCTCCACAAATGGAGACAACTCCTACAACACGATGTCAGAAAGTGTACATACAATCAAGTACAGCAGGCTGCTAACAGCTTAACGATATAGGATGCCAATCATATTATTGTGATCCTCAGCCATACTAGCAACATGCGATGACTCAGAATGAAGTTGGAATTCATCAGAGTCGTACTAGTTTAGCACCTTGCATGTGAAAATAGTGATCCTTTAGCACACTGCTTTGACAATTACTCTTAATTGGATTGATGATCATGTGTTCATATTCTTAAGGCACACACTTTCCAAGAACCTTTTGTAATAAGAAAAGACTTTGTCCAGTTTAGAACCTCAGGAACTATCTACTCAAAAGTTTTTCAAGATTGTATTTGAACTATAGTTACTTTGAGATGATCATCAATACCATTATTAAGTTTTACTTTTAACTTCAAATAATTTGATTGAGAACTTCTTAAAAGTGGCTTAGATACTCCTCAGAACTTTCGATGTCTTGTTTTTCTATCTTGCCAGTATTGCTCTAATTTACTTTGGAACTCTTGGATAAATCCAAGTGACTTTAATAGACTTTGGTGTGTACTCGTCCAGTGATTCCTAATGCTTTATGATCTTGTTACTTCCAATATTTATTCATGAGAGATGGGCCAAAAATAGCTTTAGATACATACAATCAACAACACTCTAAATATTCTTCTCCTTATGATATAGCTGCATCATAATTTAATGACATTGTATGGCTTAAGAAGGAACTAAAAGGAGGAGCTATGATCTAAACTAACACTCCAATATGGTGTGAGAAAAGAAAGAACATAGATCTGCTTGATAAATTTAATAAAAAACCTGCTCTATAAATACTAAGCAACTAGAGGTAATCACAAGTGAAGAACTACAGCTAACTGAAGTTGTATGGAGGTGGTAGACTCTGCTATGCTGCAACAGAGGCAAAATCATCACCTTAGCCAACTCTGAAACAACTGAGTTAATGTAGATCATGGGGAAGCAATGAAACTAAGTTTTCTAAACAGGGTTAGCTTGACTCAATTTAGCTTAAAGGAGTGATGATAAAAGTTTCACATTACAAAGCCAAAATGTATCAGTTAGAACGGGTTTCATAATTTTATGGAAGGTAAATTGTTCAAAGATTGTGACTCAAGCTGAGTTTGATAAATCTTCACCATGCCTTATATTAACTAGGTTTGCTTCCTATCATTTTCGTAGCAACTTCAATTGCAGGCACTAAAAGTTTTCTAGCTCCTCCTTTTTAGAGTATTTAAGTTATGATATGAACTGCCAAAAATAATTCTACAAAATCAGCTATTATGAAACAGTACTGCCAATTGTAGGATGATCCTACTTCCAAAATGCTAGATCTTCATTTCCCTGGTGATGCACAACTTATAAACCTGGCGTGAAGTTAGCCGAAGCAAGGGATCCGTGGCGCAATGGTAGCGCGTCTGACTCCAGATCAGAAGGCTGCGTGTTCGAGTCACGCCGGGTTCACTAAAAATGCTTAAGATTGACTTTATACCTTTGTAAGCAAAACAAAAGTGAAATTCTTTTACCCCTTTGGATTTGCTATTTTGCCCTGACGCTTTTCACCCCCAAACCGAGAATCGCAAGGAAATCTCTTCCAATTTAGCAATGTGCGCCATAGCCAAAATGGAAGCCAAGTGTGGAAGCTACTGCCACGTGTCGGTAGCAGTGAGCGGTGATTTTGGGCGAATTTGGAGCGATTCTTTGGCATTGGCGGCGGCCTCGAATTCGAGGATTTGTTTCTGCGCTGTGATCCAATCACTTCTCTCATCGATCTTGAGATGGGCCGGGCCAAGATCGAGATCAAGAAGATCGAGAATCGCAGCGCCAGGCAGGTTTGCTTCTCCAAGCGTCGCATGGGTCTCATCAAGAAGGCCAGCGAGCTCTCCATACTCTGTGGCTCCGAGGTTGGGATCATCGTCTTCTCGCAGGCTGGCAAAGCCTTCTCTTTCGGGCATCCCTGCATCGACTACGTGATTGACAAAACGCTCAAGCGCCCCGTGCAGATCAATTGCGAGAAGATCGAGAAGATCCGGCAGCTAGAGAAGCAGTACAACGAATTGCTCCAGGAGCTGGAGAATGAGACTGAGAAGCACACCATCTTGCAAA